CGTGCTTAAGGGTGGCATCAGTGCAACTCATCATGTGCCCCCAACCAGCCAAGCATGAGCATCATGCTTCCACGCTTAAGGGTGGCATCAGTGCAACTCATCACATGCCCCCAACCAGCCAAGCATGAGCATCATGCTTCCATGCTTAAGAGTGGCATCAGTGCAACTCATCATGTGCCCGCAAGCAGCCACGCATGAGCATCATGCTTCCGTGCTTAAGGGTGGCATCAGTGCAACTCATCATGTGCCCCCAACCAGCCAAGCATGAGTATCATGCTTCCGTGCTTAAGGGTGGAATCAGTGCAACTCATCATGTGCCCCCAACCAGCCAAGCATGAGCATCATGCTTCCATGCTTAAGGGTGGCATCAGTGCAACGCATCATGTGCCCCCAACCAACCAAGCATGAGCATCATGCTTCCATGCTTAAGGGTGGCATCAGTGCCATACAGCTCATCATACGCCACCGCCAACCCCACTGCCTCTCACCACCATCACCCCATCACCACCATCACCACCCAGCCCACCCATCCCCTCCCCACCTTACCTGCCAGCAGTAGGAGCAGCAGACAGCCCACTCCCCTTCGGAAACAGCACCCAAGGGGAAGTGCCTTGAAGGGCGAGGTGTGGTAGTGGAAAATTGCTTCCAGCCCAAGACTCAAATCCCACCCCTGACGTAGCTAGAGCTGACGCGAACCAGACTCGCCGGCCGGTCGACTTTGACGGTGCCCATTAAGCCTTAACGTCAGGTTAGTTACTTGAGCACCGAGTGCCGTGCCGCGCAGATTCCACCCACCACACCCCGACCCGCAAAACACATCCCTAGAGGATGCTACCCCTGAGAGACTGACCTGCCCACTTGCTCCCATGCTTCCCACCGCCTCCCCACTCTCCCCTTCACCCCATGCCTCTTAACTCTACCTACCACAGCCATGCAGAGCGCCATGTTGCCTCAGGGTGTTGGGAAGTGGGGAGGGAGGAGGAGGGGAGGGGGGGGGGGGGGGAGGGGGTAGTGCGATGACTCTGTCCCGCCCTTGCTCCCTCTCTCCCTCAGGCTGCATCGACCGTGCTGGAAAGTGGGGAGGGGGGCAGCGGGAGGGAGAAGGGGAGGGGGAGGTGAGGATGAAAAGAGAGATGCCTCTGTCCCGCCCTTGCTCCAGTGCTCCCTCCATACTCAGGCTGCAAAGAGGGGTGGGGAGGAAGAAAGAGAGGAGGGGATCAGATCTCCATACCAAACCTGTTACCATACCTTACCTGATACCATACCACACCTCGCTCACGACTCGACCTAACCTAGCCCGCCTCTAACCCCCCACCCCCCACTGCTGCTGCTGCTGCTGCCGCTTCTGCTGCTACAACTGCTGCTGCTGGTCTGCTACTCAGCTTCTCTGCTACAGTCTTCTCTCGATGCCCAGTGGCCTGCAGGGGTGGGGGCAGAAGAATAGGGGGGAAGTAAAAGAAAGTGAATAGGCTGGACTAGAGAAACCAATGAACTGAAGTTGACGAGAAAGAGAAGGCGGAACTACAGAGCAGAAATAGAGAGGGTCGAGGGCAAAAGGGGAGGCGGCGACCTTGAGAGGCCAAGCCCAACCCAATACTCTCCCTTGTGGCAGCAACTGGCAGAGCTGCCCCCCTCCCATCCCCACAGACAGGCACCTGCACGGCCACAGGCAAGGGGGGTGGAGGCAGAGGAAAGGGGGGAAGTAAAAGCAAGTGAGTTGGCTGGACCAGAGAAGGAAAAACAAAACTGAAGATGATGAAATCGAGAAGGCAAAACTGAAGAACAGAAAGAGAGAGAGACGAGGGCAAGAGGGCAGGTGACGTACCTTGAGGAGCCAAGCCCACCTCGATACTCTCCCTTGTGGCAGCGACTGGCAGTGCTGCCTCCCTCCCCTCCCCACGGGTACCTGCACGGCCACCGGGGAGGGGCGTGAGGGAGTGTCGGTGTTGACCCCTGCCTCTCCCCTCCACCTGCAAGGCACACACGCAGAGCTGGTCAGTGGGCAGCGAGGGGAGGAAGGGTGAGAGTGCAAGAGCGAGAAGAGAGTTTGCAAGGCGAGAGCAGGGAGGGGCCACTGGAGGAGGCCAAGCCACAAAGCATAGACCCCAAGGGGTAAACCTGAGAGCGTACCTGCACCTGAAGGGCTTACCTACACTTCAGTTCACCTGAACATAAGGTTTACCGATGCTCCCCGGTACCACTCCCCTGTGACCGTGCAGGTTTATTGGGAATGGGAGGGAGGCAGCACTGCAGCAGAGAAGGATCGCTGCTGTGAGGGAGAGTATGGGGCTGGTCTGGTTTTGCCCTCTCAAGGTACGCCGTATCCTTCCTTGGCGTCCAAGGATGCGCCCTCTCAAGCTCCTTTCCTGCTTCATACGTCTCCATGATTCTGCTGATCTCACTTTCACCTTGATCTATCTGTGATACGTCCAGTTTGACCAGTTTGGCAACTCACCAACTTCTTCTGTTGCTCCTCGCTTTTGTGCATGCATCTCCATCCGGCACCTATTCACATCACACACTCGTGATGCATCGGAGGAGGCAGCAGCAGCAGTGGCTCCAGCAGAAGCGGGGGGGGCAGCTGCTGTAGGGGAGAGAATGCGGATGTGGGACAGCAGCTAGGCGGTTCTTCGGGTACCAGCTATGTGACTTCTCGTGAGGCTGATCATCTCCTTCTGCTCATGTGAGTCAAAACCCTCCCTTTCCTGTGGGTCAACGCCTCCTCTTTCATGTTCGTCAATGGTCCTGCCTTCTTGTGAGTGATTCCCTCTCATTTCTTTGAGTATACGCCCTCTCAACTCCCAATCCCTCCTTTGAGTCAACGCCCTCTCTCCTGTGAGCAGCGCCCTCTCCTTCCTGTGAGTCAGTGCTCTTTTTCTTGTGAATCAATGTCCGCTCCTTCCTGATAGTCAACGCCCTCTTCTCTTTGTGTGTCAATGCCCGCTCCTGTCTGTGAATCAACGCTGTCTCCTTCCTGTGAGTCAACACCCTATTTCCTTCAGAGAGTTGTGATGTGAAGTCTACTCATATCTCAGGCCCTTCTTCTGAATCCGGTGCACCATTGGTGGTGCAGAAGTTGGTGGTGAGTGAAGCAGTGCAGGTGCGGCAAGGAGGTCTGGGTGGTGGGCTTGCTGTTGTCTCAATCATTGTGTTCATGCACCCTGCCACGCCCACCTGTGCTCCGCCCTCCCTCCCACTTGCATGCCCCCTGCCTTGTGTACAAGCAGGGATGGCAGGGAAGGCTGAAGAAGGATGACCAAGGATGACCAAGGATGGCGTATTTGTACAAATCATGGCAAGGAGCTGACAGGATTAGGCTAACTAGTACCGGTACATTATGTGTGGCGAAACTCTAGCCAGGCCATGATGCTTGGGACATTCAGTAGGGCAGGAACAACAATGTGGTACGGTACCAGGTATATTAAAATGGGTAATGTGAGAGGTAAGGGGTGGGGAATGGTATAGGAACGGTGAAATCATTGGTGGGTGCAGTAGGGATTATGCCAGGCACAAAACAACGGGGTGGAGCTGGCAGGAGAGGAACTCACTGGAAGCAGGGAAACCCCAAAAGCTGAAAGTGAGCTGGTAACAAAGGGGAGGGCTCTAACAGCAGGGAATGATCTTGCACAGCAGGGATATCTGCTGCACTCCCGCTAACACAGGATTGCACTAACAGTAGGGGGCCATGGAAAGCCAGAGACGATCTGATAGCATCACCCAACCGCTGACACAAGAGAGGAGAGGTTAGTGCAGTCACAGCAGGAAACTATTGCAAGCCAAGGCAGGAACGTTAACAGCAAGGACCCAACCACTGAAGCAGGGACACTGACAGCTGGAGGAACTCGGCCACTGGCAGGAGAGAGTGCACTATCAGCAGGAATTGCTGGTCAGTTCATTACATTTTTTTTTACGGGAAGAATCCATCCACAAACAAGGAGGGCAAGGCGACTGACTGCGTACTAGCTGGAATGGTGGGCAAGCCAGGCACTCTGATCTGAGAGGTTGATTACAGAAGCATGGCAGACAATGAACTTAGCCAGCCCCCAGGACCAGACCTCATGAACTTGTCAGAGCACAGTAGGGACGCCTCTGTACCATATCATACCGTATCTAGTTTACGCTGTGAGACATAATCCATTCAGGAGGACAACCAGGACGTTGTGCTTTCAGTTCAGAGTGCATCAAAGCCTGAACTTCTACTGCACGCAAAAGCACGCACACCACTACAGCCATCAGGGAGTGTCTAACCAGCACCTACCTATAAGTTGTTCCATCTAGAGTATTCGTTCCCTACATATTCTCTCCTATCCACTCACTCACACATCCCCTCTGCTTTTCAGCTACCCTCATGCTTTTCCGATGTCCTCTCCTTGTGTCTCAGTGCACACCCAGCCCGTGCTGGCGCAGAGTGGAGGCAATGACTGCCCGTGACTGCTCACACAGCTTGTCCGCATCCGTGCCTGTGATAGGCGGGTGCACCACCACCCGCACCACCCCTCCCTTGGTCCCAGGCGACCCTGACTTGGTGGCAAGTGAAGCAGTGGAGGAAGTGGAAGAGTCAGCAGGAGCAGGGAGAGCAGCGAGAGGGGGGAGGGGCGGGAGCGTGGAGGTGGCAGCGAGGGTGGATTCTAGGCCGCTGGGCATGAGGGCACCGGTGCCGATTAGGGTGATGGGGACCACTGGGACCCCTGCCTTTGCTGCTATGGAAAAGGCACCCTTCTGCAGTGGGGAAGGGAGGTGGGGAGCAGGGAAGGATGAGTGAGAGGGGGAGGGGGTGGGTGAGAGATGAGGAGGGTGGGTTTGGGATGTCAGAGGTGGTGATGAGTTGAAGAACAACGGGGAAGGGAAGTAGGAATGCATGGGACGAGGTGGGCATACGCAGAGAAGGAAGCCAGTGACTGTGATGTGATGTGACCTCAACGAGGCAAGCCATTGTACTGAAGCATGGTAGGGATAGCATGGTAGGTTGGGAGTGATGGTGGTGGGCAGGGAAGACATGCCTTGAAGTCTGAGAGCTTGCCGTCCTTGGTTCTGGTGCCCTCTGGGAAAAAGAGCACGGGCGTGCCCTGCTGCAGCAGCTCCAGACACTTCTTCAGACACTCCTGCTCGAGAGAAGGGGAGGAGAGGGTTGGTGTGAGGGGGATGGTTGGGGCTGTAGTTAGAGAGAGGGACGGAGGAGGACTGAGGAGATAGGGTTGCAGTGGGGGGATGAGCAGCGTTGTGAGCGAAGAGAGAGTGAGCAAGAGAACGGCATGCTGCATTCCTGCCTTGTGTGAATTTGCTTCCATCCAGCATTCTCTCTCCAGTCTGTTTCCATTCACATCTCCCCCCTTCTCCCTCTCCTCTGCCCTCTCCGCTTTCCCCTCCTCTTCACCCCCACTTCACCCCCTCTTCACCCCCCCTCCCCCGCCGTCCCCTCCCCCAGCGCACCATCTGGCTGCGCTTGTCCATGCGCTTGAGCGGCACGTGGCCGGTGAGGAACATGCTCCACCCCACGATGGGGATGAGGAAGTTGCTCGTCTTGCTGATGAACTTGAACGGCCGCCGCAGCTGGAACAGCGTGTAGATGTCCAGGAAGCTCTGGTGGTTCGCCACGTACACCGCCGGCGCGTCCGGAGGGGGGAGGTTCTCCACGCCCACCACCTCCGTGCTGGTGGGGGAGGGAGCGCGGAGGGATGTTGGAAAGAAAGAGGGGAATGGGGGGGTTGGGGAAGGAAGGAAGGGGGGGAGGTAGACACCACTCCTTTTCTCATACCTATTTGAGCAGCTTTAATAGCTGCTACATAGCCGCTTTCTAGCTCCCTTGCTTTGATAGCCTGGCGCTTATCATATGATTTCTTGCCCTTAGCCAAGGCTATCTCAAGTTTAGCTAGCGCTCGTTCAAGAAACATGGTCGGCTCGTGAAATGTCCTCCCCATCCCCACCACTCCACCTTCACCCCCTTCTCCCTCCTTCCACTCCCCCTCCCCACACTCCACCCACTTCCTTCTTTCCCCCTGCTCCTCACCCCTTTCCCTCCCATTCTCCCGCTTCTCCCCACAGCGCCCCTCCCGCCTCACGGGTAGAAGACGGCGGTGGTGGTGTTGGCCCAGACGTTGTTGATGACGTGCTGCGCGCGGCGCTTGGTGCGGTCGAGCAGCAGCACGAACGGCTGCACCACGAGCATGAGCACGAACAGCGGCGTCGCGATGATCAGCGTCACCAGGTAGAACAGAATGGCGCGGAACCGGTTCACCACGCTCGTCTCTGCGCGCGTGCGCGTCGGCAGGGAGAAGAAACGGGGAGAGGGGAAGTCGGAGAACGGTGAAAGAATGCTGCCCGTTACCGTTTTATGCTGAGACAGTGTTGGCGAGTGCACCTGGTTAAAGTTGGCAAGACGGAGACCTTATTTTTTCATTTTATTCTCATTTTGGATGTCCAAGCTCCAGAGATGCGTGTCGCCTTTTTCCAAGCCCAAGCTCGGGGCTATGCATGACTGACAGAAAAAATAGTCTGGAAGCGTTCATGGACCGGAAAGGGCTTGGCTTTCGTCCTTCAAAAGGACAATGGGCCATGACATAAAACGAGGCGACACAAAGCGGCGGGCAACGAAATTGGCATTGGCACCAGCACTGGCATTGGCACTGGCATGGCCGGGATACTGACGTGTGGGGGGAGGAAACGGCAATGTCTCGTCGAAGGCCCTCGCGCCATCACCGAACGCCGCGGCGCCTGCTGCCGCCGAAGCTCTAACGGAATCTGCGGGCCGGCGCGAGGGGAGAGGGTCACGAGACGGCAGCAATGGGGACGCGGATGTCTTGCTGAAAAGGCTGACGCGAGGATTGGGTGGCGGGACTGCGGCGAGCGACGCGCGAGCAGCGGCGATGACGGTAGGTGAATTGATGATAGAGGCTCGTGATCGCAAAGGTAGGAACGAGACGGACGGCTGAGATTGCAGCAGGCGCCGGCTGTGTGAGAAGGACGAGAGGCGGCGGTTGATTATAGTTGCTTGCTGGGAGGCAGCGACGGATGCAGTGGAAGCCATGGCTGCCTGCTTTTGTAACAGGTAGGAAAGAGTTAAGGCAAAATGCGTGAGCGCCTTTCGATAATGCAGACTCCAGGCTAGATTATCCTTCACAATAGTCAGGCTACAATACGAAAGCCCTTGGTTACTGGAAGAGCTGCTCTCCCGTGTGGGATGGTTAGTGGCCTCTGACCAGATTAGTATACGGGCCAGTTATGCCAAGTGATGGCGGAGTAATGCAGTGAGGAGTTGCTTGTTGGTGCTGCTGCGAGCGAGAAAGTCAGGCGGTTGGTTGGGAAATGGAAGATCCCAAGTGGATAAGGGAGTCAGCCTGCCACAGAGATGCTCTTGTAACGGGAGGTTTCCTATGACACTATCGATGCAGAACATTCGAACATCGGCACTTTTCCGTAGTTGAAGTGCAGTTTTATCATATATGTTGGATACATATCAGAAAATTTTACGCCTCTGACACCATCTGATTGTCTCAGTCTCAGGGACGTTTCGCAGTCGCAGACCTGACAAGCAGTGCAAGGTATCTCCGTTTTGGGATTGGCTGGGAGACAGAGAAATGGTTTCGTTCGCGAGCGAACGAGCCCTTGTGACTGTACAAGTTCGCACACCATTTTCAACCTCCCACAGACCCATCCATTGGCCCGGCGAACGAACAAGGGGCACGGCTTGCTTCACCTAGGCGATTGCATTCAGTCACCCTACCTCTCCACTCCACACACCCACCCACTCACCCAGCAGGCTGTCTCACAGCGTCAAGTCAATGGCGGACTAGTCACCAACAGATCTTTGCTTTGACTTTACAGTACTACCCAAGGGTTGTTGCTCGGGCGACGAAATTCTTCATTGCTTGCTGAGTTTTGCAAGCCACCGCTTTGTTCGCTACTTTGTATCATTCGCCAGTTATTATGTGCTGATGGACGTTATTCGCTAGATCCTTGGGGCGACTTTGCTCCGAAACAACCTGCGCTGAGTTATTCTCACTGTCGATCTTGCTGCCGACCTTCTCTGCATAATCGGACACGATGGAAGCGTTCTTCGCTCGCGCTAGATCGGTCGCCGAAGAGGCGGCAAAGAAGACTCAAGAAATCACTGTCAAGCTGTCGCAGGATATTGTCAAAGAGACTACAAAAGTATCCTCTCAGCTCGTGACGGAAACTGCCAAGTACAGTGAGCAGCTGTCGAAGAATCCCACCATCCAGGATCTTGCCTCGCGCTCCAAAACTTTCGCTCATGAGGCTGGCAAGAAGGCGCAAGAACTCGCGAAAGAAGCTGCGGAAAAGATTCCCGCGTTAGCGCAGCAGACCGCGCAGAGTGCTGGGGAAGGGATTCAAAGTTTGGTAAAGGAGTTGAAAGTCGGGGGTTCAGGACACCAGCCATTAGACAACGAGCTGGAAGAATATGGAGTGACTGAAGATTTGCGCGAATTCGTTCGTGGAATGACTCTTGACACGTTTAAGGAATTTCCAGTCGATGATGAGATCAAGCGTAAGTGGATGCCACTTGACTTCGGCAATCGGGACTGCATGAATGCTATTCTTCCCTTGGGATTCCCCGTTCACCCTGTACGTACCGGTGTGTGCATGAGCAGAGCTGAAGGAAGCTGCAACGGCTGAAGAGGGTGTAGGAGCGGTGGCAGCAACCACGACAGAAAATGCTTCAAAGACCGACGAGGTGGAGGTTGGTCCCGACAACGTCAGACACGATCTGAACGCATTTCAGACTCGCCATGCCATGCTGGTCTTGGAGAGCGTGAAGGTGCGCATGTCTCTTTCTCCCCGCTCTATTTCCTGCGATCAAATGTCTCTTGTCTGGTTTTCGCTATATGCTGATGTAAGCTGTTTAACCCTTGTGCAGGAAATTTCCACATTCCGGTATCAATTATGCCCACGGGTTATGCCAGAGCATCGGTTCTGGAAGATCTACTTCATGCTCGTGCACACACATGTTTTACCGTGAGTTCATTCTGTTTTTTTTTGCGTTTCCGAACGCCCTTCCTCACAACTGTTTGTCCGCTCAGACTTTTCCAACTGTTTTATCCAAGTCGTTGAGGTATGAATCCTTTTTTGGTAATGCGTGCTGTGTTGATCAGGTATGAGACGCGGTGGTCTGCGAGACAACAAGAGCTGGCAGCAGGGATGGCAGCTTTGAAGGAGCAGGCTGCACAAGCAGCGGCCATTGCAACCACCCCTCCAGCTGCCAAGGCTCTTGCTTCTGATTCAAATTCAAGTTTGAACAAGTCCACTGTTTCCTCAGGAACTGTTGCTGGAACAGCAGTAGCTGCTGCTGGGGCAGCAGCAGCAGCAGCAGTGGCGACAACATCTACGAGTGAAGATCTTGATGACAAGAAGACAGAAGGGGACGACATTGATGCTCTTCTCATGGATGCTCTTGGAGGGGATGATGCAGGTATGGTTCGTCTGGCACATCAGTATGAGTGGGCGTTGATTGCTGCTTCATCGCGGGTGGTTTGGCAGTTGCAGACGGATGTTTGGTAACAGCTGCAGCTCGACTATTCTCACTCTCTTTGAGTCGAGTGGATGCCTTTGTCTGAACCCCGATGGCAGGGGATGACGATGAGGACGATGGGGCTTTTGATGCAGAGGACTTTGATGAGCTCGTCAAGTCAGCGGTCAGTAACCAATTCACTTTTCCTTTTCATCTTCCTACTATGTCCTGGGCCCTGATGGCATTCGTGCCAGCCACATGTCGCTGCTACATAAGCCTCAGCTTTGTGGTTCGTTGGCATCAGTGTCACCATGTCCATGCATATCATTTACAAGCTTCTTCCATTTTGTAAAATGCTCCCGGTCAGTCATGCTTCTGCACCATTCAAACCGTTCCTGTCTTTTTTTTTTTCGTCCCCCCTTCAATCATCACTTACATAACAGGTTGGTTCAGACCTTGACGACATCAAATAAGTACTTCTTGATTCATCCCTACCAATTGTTAGTCGAAGTCAGAAGTCGCGCGTAAACCATGTAGTCTTTCCACGCGTTTCATGTAAGCAGTGTTATCTCTGGTGCTGTTTGCTGAGTACTGCCACTAGGACAGGAGGGTGAAACTTGTAGTCTGCAAAAGGTGTTAATCTAATTATGTGTACATACAATACCGTGCTGCTCGTTCAGTAGGCTTTGAAGTACGCATTGGAGAGTGGCATATACTGTGTTGAGAGCTTGATATACTTAAATACATTCCTCACCTCAGTACAACCTTTTAGCATGTCATTCTCATTCCCATATTCCGCTGTGCACTATTTCACATACACTTTGTCCCTCGTCAAATCTCATCTGCTGACATCACTTTATGCTGCGCTGGCGGACGTGTTCCTGCCTTGTCGGGTGCGCTGGCATCTCCTAATGACGGTGCTCCCAGTGCAGGTCTCAGATTGGTCTGTCTCCACACGAGTAACCTGGGAGTCTGGAAAAGGCAAACGAGTTTGGCCCGCAGTTTATGGTGAAAAGGACGTTGTCAGGATGCCCATGCTTGTTTTCTACAATATCAAAATACTAGCTGGTGCATACTTTCAATAGAACATATATTTCATTTATTTCTTCTGTCGCCTCTCATCCTACACTTACAAAATATTAATTTCATCAGCCCGTGGCGCGTAAAAAAATTACGACACGTCAGCTCAAACATCTCACGTCCATCTACACGCACGCGAAACCAGCCCGTGAATCGATCTGGATGCAAGTCCAGATTCCAAAATGACAACGTGAACCACCAATCTCAAGGCCAGGGCATGTCCTTCCCAGCGCGTAAAGCCTGTACCTGCGAGCGAACGAACTGACACATGTAGCGTTACCCTGCTCGCAGCCAGTCACCTTCCTCTTCTCGCGATCGTTCAAGTATCTCGGGTTTCTCCGACTGACCTTCCTCTCCTGCCCCCTTCTCCTGCTAGCTTTCTACTTTTCGACTTGTCACACGCTCAGCAGAATCATCTGCCTAGAAAAAGGGACTGCTTGTCCCAGATACTTCACAACTAGAAAACTATCCATCGAAGTCAAGTCTATACTCCTCCGTGCCGCCGCTCCAGCACTTTTCTGTACGACCCACAAGTGCATCTACTTCCGCTCTGTGCTGTGTCTCGTGTCATGGCGGCGCAAGCAAGTCAGGTTTACTTGGCGCATCACCTGACAGCATCTGTACCAGTTGCCGTCAACAGGTGCCCTTCAAGACACCAAGTTTCCGCTCCCAGGCTCTCCGCGCCTCCCGCGTTCTCCAGCGGGGCTCTCAGGGCCGGCTGTGAGAACGGATGGGGGAGGAGCAGAGCAGTTCGGCGGCCCGTACTGGTCATTCGAGCGGAGGCAGGAGCGGTGCAAAGTCCGCCTGAGAAGGACAAGAGGAACCCCACATTCGAGAAGGTTGGTCTCTTCACAGTGTTAACCACTGCGTTTCCTCTCGCGTTTTGATTTAGCTTCTCTCTCGCGGTTCTTACCTTAGGTCCAGCCAGCAGAACCATGCACTTTTCACTTCCCTTATGCCTCTCTCTCCCTGTCTCGTTTCCCGTGTCGTCGCGCGCAGGTGACGCATCGCGAGCACCTCACCGTGGGCGACTGCATGACCAAGGGCGACGTGAAGGTCGTCAAAGTCACCACCACCGTGGATGAAGGTACGCGCCCGACAGCTTTTCTCGCCACCGTGACTGAAGGTACGCGCGGCAGCGATACCAAGGAGAAATCAGCGTTTCCTTTGTCGACCTGAGCTTCTTCCAGATGCAACGACGCCGTCTCGCTGTCGTTTTCTTCGGCGTGTGTGACTTATACTGATGCCGTTTCCGGAATGTTGTGTAATAATAACCGATACATACAGATACTCACTCTCCCAACCTAACCCGCTTTCTCCTCCCTCCCCTCCCCTCTTTTCTCACCCCCACCTTCCCCTTTCCGCTCCCTTCCCTCCCCCCGCCCTCCCCTTCGTCCCGCGTTCTCCCCGCGCCGCGCAGCGCTGGAGAAGCTAGTAGCGTATCGCATCTCGGGCATGCCCGTGGTCGACGACGACAACCGCGTCGTAAGCACACACGCACGCACCCACGCGCACACCCACCCACGCCTCCCGTCATTTCGCTTCCCCTACGCCGCACCTCTCCCGCTCTCTCTCGTTTCCTCCGCGCTTTTCTAGACCCCGCCGCTCTTGTCGCTCTGTCATTCTCCTAGTGTTGCGCTCCCTACCAAATTTTCTCGTCGTCCGAATTGAATTCAAAGCACCCGTCTTCCCTCTCCACCTCTCTGCCGTCCCGTTCTCCCGTTCTCCCGTTCTCCCGTTCTCCCGTTCCCCCGTTCTCCCGTTCTCCCGTGGTCCCTTGGTGCCTCGTGCCGTTGTGTCCGGTCCGGCCATGGGTGACTGTTGGTGCAGGTGGGCGTGGTATCGGACTACGACCTACAGTTTCATCTTCCTCGCTCTGTCCTTCTCCCCTCGTTTTATTGTTTTTGCTTGTTGGTGCAGGTGGGCGTGGTATCGGACTACGACCTACTCGCCCTCGACTCCATCTCAGGTGCGCTCTCCGACCTCCTCGCTCTCCGACCGCCTCGCCCTCCTCTCTCGCCTCTCTCTCCTCACCTCTTCACCCTCCTCTCTCGCCTCTCTCTCCTCACCTCTTCACCCTCCTCTCTCTCCTCTCTCTCCTCACCTCTTCACCCTCCTCACCCTCCTCACCACCACTCACCTACTCACCTCCTCACCGCCTGCCTGCCTTCTCGCCTTCCTCGTTCGTTCTACTCGCGCGCATCGAATGCCGCGCGTGCTCACTCTGTTCGCTTCCCTATCCGAGCTGGGTTATCTCCCTGGCAGAACGAGGAATATCTCCCCATCAACTGGTCGAATCCCCCCTTCTTCCCGCACCCCCTTTCCTTCGTCCTCTCCCCTCCCCCCTCCCCCTGACAGGCAAGCGCAAGGAGCGCGACGGCATATTCCCACAGGCCGGCAGCACGTGGAAGGTGCGTGGTGGCGCAGGGATAGAGAGGATAGGGTGGCGGGGTGGAGGAGGAAGGGGAAGCGGAGGAAAGGAAAGGTTGGATAGATGGAGGGAGTGGAAAAGAGGGGTTGGGATGGGCTATGAGTCCCATGAGGTGCTTTTACTCGCGGCCGCTTTGTGATGCGTGGAACAGCAAGTGAGCTTCTTCTCGTTCCTGCTCCCCCCATACATCCATCCGTCTCCTTGCGCCGTCCATTTCCGAGCCATCTGCTTCCTCCCTTTACCATACCTAGCTCCGCCTCCTCGCTTCTTCCCATCATCATGTGTAACAACCCACCCCACCTGGCCCCACCCCGCCTCACCCAACCCCACCCACATGCGCGCGCGCACACGACCGGGAGGCAGGCGTTCAAGGAGATCCAGCTGCTGCTGATGAAGAACGCGGGGGCCACCGTGGGGGACGTGATGACCCCCAACCCGCTGTGCGCACGTGCCATGACCAACATTGAAGACGCCGCACGGTGAGCATGGGGAGGGGGAGGGGGGAGGGGGGAGGGTAGAGGAGGGAGGGTGACTGGGGAAAGAGCAAAGGCGCTGTGCGCGCGCGCCATGACCAACATTGAAGCCGCCGCACGGTGAGACTGGGCGACGGAGGGTAGAGTGGGGAGGGCGACTGGTGAAGGGGAAAGCTGTGCGCGCGCGCCATGTCCAACATCGAAGATGCTGCACGGTGAGCACGGGGAGGAGGGAGGAGGGGGCAGGGTGACTCGAGAGAAGGCAAAGCATTCTGCGAGGGAACTTGTTATGCTCACAAACATAGAGGATGTTGCCCTGTGCGAGGGGCCTGAAGGTGGCAGTGGGAAGGAGGGTTATTGGGGACCAGGAGATCTGCCAATCCAGGCTGAACCCTCCTCCCACCCTGTCCGCATCTCTGTTTGCACTGCCGGGCCTCTCAGCTTCGTTCTCTCTTCATCACTCTCTGTGTTTGTGTGGGTGCCGGTTTGTGTGTGCATGTATCTGTGTGCATATGTATGTGTGTACGCATGCATGTGCTCGGTGTGCATCACGCGTGTGTGTGTGTGAATTGTATGTGTGTGCATTGCATGGGTGCACGTGCAGAGTGCTGATAGAGTCCAAGTTCCATCGCCTGCCTATCGTGGATGAGGACGGCGTTCTGGTCAGTCACGTCCCATGCACACAATGCTCCCTGTTTCCCTACTACCACAAATCAGCTCCTGCTTTGCTCCCCATTGCAAGACAGCTCGGTTTGCCGGACCTGCTGCCCTTTCCGTTCTTTTGTTTTACTGCCATCGGCTCACCTGCATGGCCATCTCTGATCCTGGTGTTCTATCCTCCCTTCCAATCCCAAACCTCTCTCATCCCACAATCCGCTCCCCCCTCCCTTTCCTCTCCCCGTCTCTCCCTCCCCCCACCTCCTCTCCCGGTGCCTCTCTCCAGATCGGGCTGTTGACGCGTGGCAATGTGGTGCGGGCGGCACTGATGATGAAGCGCATGGCGGAGGGCAAGGGGATGGGGCCAACAGGCGGCAACTAACCACACACGCTCACACATGCACACACATGCACTGCACTGTACATGCTAGCTACACAGTGTCACGACCATGCCGATCAGCGGCCGGCTAATGGAGCATGTCATGTCACCGTGTGCATTTGCTTCACAGCATTCTCTCATAAAATCTACCACAGACAGTCCAGTCCAGTGTGACTGGTTTCCTTTTTGCCTGACTTGGCTGCAACTTGCAAGAGTGACTGTTCCTTTGTTTGCGTTTGAAACTTAGCTTGCGAGTACTGGGCTGAATGGTTGCTTGTCTTCAAGGCGCATGCATCTTCTTGTGCAGCTGTGACCTGCTGAAGAGAGAAGCAGTAGTTGCCTTTTCTCTCTCTGGTTAGGCGCCCTGTTCCTTTCACACTTTTGTACATTGGGGTTTGAATCATTGATCGCTGTCGCATATTATCTTATGTATATCCCGTGCTCGTTTTATCCAAGCAATTGTGCTGGCTGAAGTCTGAACCGTATTATTCTTCAAACCGAACCTTCCAAAAGAAAAGGCCATACCATCTCAGGAAGAGTAGTAATTTCCCAGCAAATGTGTCTGAACTCTGTACAAGCCAAGCCACACACCAATACAAGTCTGCCTTGTTGTCGCTAAGAACGCTTCACACCAACTTGCAAGCTGTACAGAATATGTACAGGGCACTCCCAATCCCCACGAGTGCAAACTGCCCCCCTGTCCTCCTCTCCCCATGCACCTTACCCCAGGGTCTCATTGCTCCACACTTGAAGCCAACGCCTAGATTTGCCACCAAAGCCTGCTCGGAGATCTAGGAATTTCCAGCAGCAGCAGCAGCAGCAGCAGCCTCAGCAGCAACGGGTGAGAGTGTATCAAGGAAGACGCGGTGGAAGTCAGGGTGGGCGAAGGGCGAGTAGTGACCGTGGCCGTGCAGCAGGTGCAGCGACACGCATGGCAGCAGGTGCGCCAGCAGGTCTGATAGCAGCACTGGCACATCCTGGTCCTCCGTACCCTGGGTGGTGAATGATGTGGTGCAAAGGGGGGGTTTTGGGAAAAGGTGGGGGAAGGCAGGGGAAAGAATTGGAGAAAGCAAGGGTAGGTAAGGCAATGGAGTGAATGGGTTGAAGAGGTGAGCGTGAACAGACGGTGCTCGTGGTGAGACTGGTGATTGGGAATGAGGAGATGGAAATCAGCGGGGATGAATGCGGGGGAATTGAGCAGACGAAATGGAATGTGGAAGGATGAAGGAGGCGACCTGACCTGCCAAATGTGGATTGGGAAGTCGCAGTGTTTCAGGTCTGCGAGGTAGAACCCCCATGGCTGTGCGGGCAGCAGTAGGTCCTCCAGCACTGCCTGCACGTTCCCCTGGTATAGCGCTTCCTGGCAGGTGGCTGTGAATGGGATTGCGAAGGAGGAGAGAGAGACAGGGAGGGAGGGAACAGGGAGGGGGGGGGGGAAGAGAAAAAGAGTGAGCGATGGGAGGGTGTGCTGGCGAATAGAGTACAGTGAAGAGGAAACGAGAGAAAATAAAGAGAAAGAAATAACTGAACAAGAAGGGTGAAGGAGAAGGAATTGAGCAGAAAGAAAAGAGAACCGCACCTGCGAGCATGTGGAGGGTGTGGGGATGCGAGAGCGCCTGTGCATCCGCCCACTGCACATACGACATGAGCGCACGGTGGATGGCCGTATCGGACAGCACCACAGGGGCGAGCAGGCGCACGAGGGGCGGTGGGAAGAGCAGCGGGCAGAGGAGGGGGACGATGCTGGGAGGGATCCAGCGCAGGCACTCGAAGCGCAGGCGTGCAGGGAAAGGCAGGGCGGACCAGAGGGAGAGGGCGAAGAGAGCTGCGTGCTGGCATGCCGCCCACTGCTTGTGGAGTTTGGAGAGAATGGACGATGGTTCTGATCCCTCATTGCTCCCACTGCTCCCGCTGCTCTCCTTCCTTTCCTTGCTCTCCTCTGCCGCACCCCACTCCCTAGAACCTCTCCTCTCCTCTGGCTCCCCACCACTCTCTCCCCTGCCCTTCCCCGCCACCACTCCCTGCCTTTCCCCCATCCCCCCTCCCCCAACCATGGCCGCCACCAGATCCCACGGGTTCACATCCCCAGCCCACAGCACAACCCCCGCCAGACGCTCAGACAGGAACCTGGCTGCTGCGAGGGCATGAGGTCCCCCTCCCGAGTATCCCAGCACCCAGAACTTGGGCGGCAGGGAGAGGAGGGACGCGAGGTGGCGCAGGTCAGAGGCAGAGGAGTGGAGGGTCCATCCCGGGTGGGGGTCTGACTGGCCTATCCCTGGGCGGTCGAAGGAGACAACGCGGATTTTGCGCGCGTGGAGGAGAGAGGGGCTGATGGGGGGATGGGGAGTTGCGGGTAGGGGAGGGGTGGGGGGTGGCAGGGGAAGTTTGGGAAAGGGTTTGGAAGGAGGGTGGTGGGGTAAGGTAGGGGCTAAGTGAGGGAGGACGTGTGGATGGATCAAGCTCGAGGAGTGTGGCGTAGTGTGGTGTGGTGTGGTGATGTAGGATGCAAAGGTACGCATGTGTCATGTGTCACGTGTATGTGCTATGTGCCACATGGTATGTGCCTATGCAAGTGCGCGTGCCATGTGAATAAGAGGCCTTACTTGATCATGGGGATGCCCACGGGGCGACATCTAGGTGATTTTTAAGGCACCTCAAAAATCACCTTAACAGCTACACCAACGTGCATGCGCCATAACAAGAGGCCTTACTTGATCATGGGGATGCCCATGAGGCGGCAGCTAGGAGTGCCATGCAGCACAACGATAGTCACACGTGCATCGCTGGCAGCCGCGCCCCACTCACACACCGCCACGTGGCGGCCATCTGGCAGCTTCACACGGTGAGCCGTGATGCGGACCGGTGGGAGGGTGAGAGACGCGAGGGCGGAGAGAAACGCTGCAGATGGGGGGTTGAGATGGGTTGAATTGCGTTGACAAGAGGTGAAATTCCGGCAGAGGAGACGAGGGGGAAGAGACCAAAGTTCAAAAACGAAAGAAAAACATTAAGGGTTTAGTCAGGGAATACAGCGCGAAGAAAAGGCGCTTGTGAAGAGGGACGGGAACGAGGGGCTGAGCAGCAGACCCTGAGACTCGTACCTGCTACAGCAATCCAGCACACGAGCACGGGAACAACTGGCAGCAGCAAAAGGGACAGCAGCAGCGGGACCAGTACAACAGAACCAACAGCCCAGAGGGGGCCAAAGGGACTGGACAACGGCCACTGGCACCCACTCTGCCACCCCTCCAACCACGCTGACACCCACGATAGTAACCCCGACCATCGCCATGCCTGCTGCTGCTCCTCGTCCTCCTCCCTCTCTTCCTTCTCCGCCCCTGCCCCTGCCCGTGCCAGTGCCTCTCCACACCCATGCCTCCCGGTCTGCTGCGCCTTGGCTCCGCCTGGCGAATTGGGTGCGCGGGAAAGGGGCAGCAGCAGCGGAAGCAGGGTGCCGTAAAGGGCGTGACACGCGGAGGAGACGGCGCGATGGAGCAGAGGCCAAGGTTGGGATCCAAGGGAAAGGCGCATGCTCGGCGGTGCTCGTGCTTCTGGTGCCACTGTCATTGGTAGCATGCCGCCCCGTGCTGCTGATGCGCGCTCGTCAACGCTGCTGCTGCTAGTGCTGCTGCTGCTCCCATCGTCCGTGCCAGCAGCGGCAGCAAGCGGGGCAGCAGGCACAGCAGCAAGCGAAGCAGCAGGCACAGCAGCAAGCGAAGCAGCAGGCGCAGCAGCGGGAAGGGGAGGAGGAATAGCAGCCGGCATAACAGCGGGCACAGCAGCCAGCACGGCAGCAGCAGCGGTATCAGGGGATGCACCGGGCGGCTCTATTGGGCTAGTACCCTCCGCCGCTGCCCCTTCCTCCGATTTCCCCTCGTCCCCTCCGCCCAACTCCGCCCCGTCCCCCAACTCGCTTCCGCCAGGAAGGGGAGGGATCAACGGGGAAGGCCCGATACTGCTAGCACGCGGGGAGGCGGAGGCGGAGCCGGAAGCGCGAGCGGTAACATTGGCATCAGCGGATGCGGAAGGGGAGGGGGGCGAGGAGGCGGATCTGATAGAGCCTGTGTCTGAAGTGGAAGCAGGCTGCTCCCACAGGGATTCCAGCATGGATAGCACGTCTGGTGTAGAGGTCGCTCGCCCTGAGGTGCTCCGCGGGGTAGTGGTAGCCTGCCCTGCTGTGTTTCCAGAAGCAGCGGCTTGAGAACCCCGTGGGATGATCCCTTGGGAACTGCGCCGGGAATCTCCTTTGGTGTCAGGCGCTTTGACGGAGGACGAAGATTCATGGCTGGCGGGCTGACGAGTCGTGCTTGAAGCGCCAGGATCGAGATTTATGGGATCTACAACCGTAGCAGCACTCGGATACGTGGTGCTGAGATTCGTCGTGGATGACGGAGCTGCAGCAACGCTGGGACTAGTAGCACTGGGAGTCCCACTGAGAGTGGCACTGGTAGCACTGGGATTAGAATCACTCGGATTCGCAGCACTGGGATTGGTAGCACCGGAACTGGTAGCCCCTGATTTACCACCGCGATTACTTCTTCTGCGATTGGTTCGAGCACCCATAAACATTGTGGCACTGCTGGAAAGGCCCGCTGAACTTCCTGCTCCCAAGCCGAATTCGGCTAGTCAAGCCAAGGCAACAAACGTGAACCACGAGCGAAGCTGCGCGGGATGGTGCTGCTTCTGTGTGACAAACCCGCCGCTTCCCTGCGACAGAACTGCTTCACCGTTCGGATTATTTACAACCGTTCTAGACCCCTGGATGCTGAAGTGACACACACTTGAAATCAAAATCGAACACAAAACGCTCGTCCTCTAACACCGATAGTCTACTTTAAGGGCATCTCAGCCTGCTAAGGAGAGAGTACGAATTAGCATGTCACCTCCATGGATGACCCAGCTGATTCCATTGCAACGAGAACCCAACGCCAGAGGAGAAGCTGAAGGTTGGAAGCTATGAAAACAAGGACTCTAGAATTCGTGTCAAGGAAAATCGGAAACACTAGGCGTTCAATTTGGTGTGATGTGAAAGCACAGAGGCGAGCGAAACACCCGACGGGACAAATGTTGGAATGGCACTGTGTGGGGTGGTGAGGTGAGGTGAGGTACGGTGCAATGCACTTTTAGTGCACTGTTCGCACACATTGGGAATTCGAGAAGCCGTGTGATGTGATTGGCTGGCACGTGATCGAAGCAAATCCTCAACCGATCATCCCACACATGCACGTCGCATCGCACGGCTGTCCGCCTGCATGTGGTTTTCCATCCTCTCCAGTCAAGCCGTGCGATGGTTGGACGGACCGCTCCTTAGATTCTGACGATAGAGAGGACAGTCAAGGATACTGGAAATAGTGTACTGCTTGAAAGTTAGTACCATTAGACCTATTCCTTCATATAATCTCAAGCTACGTATCTACATTTCATGCTTCTCATCTCCACAACAGAGCACGTCACGTACAGAAAACGACACCCAGAGAGCTCCACTTCTTTGCCTGCGGAGCTGATATTGTATGCGTGAAATCAGATGTATCCAGCTCCGGCAGCAGTGAGCCGGTCTCACAGCAACAAGTGCAATAAACAGAAGCATCTCGAGATGGGTGCGGCACATGTAGGTGTTGCTTGCAATGCAACCACAGACCATTGCTCAACAGACTGGTGAGAACCGGTTGCATGATGGTCGCTATCGGGCAAACTGTTGTGCAATGCGGGCAGACTTGTAGTCATCACGCAGTTGAATGTAACTGCTCACAAGGGGTCACAACGGGATGGCATCAGACAAAAATTGGCCAACAGAACAGTTACGACAAAAATTGGCCAACAATTTTTTCTCTCTCTCGAAAAAAAGGGGTGATCGGAAGAGCGGCTGGCTGGAGCACTGCCGAAAGTACTATACCACAGCGAAGAAGTGTGAGTCGATGCATTGAAAAGGAGCAATCAGTAGCGTTAAGTGAGGGGAGCGAGCGAGAGAGGGGCGACACGGGCACGGCAGGGCATACATGAGAGCATCCTTGTGCGAGAGATGGCTGCTGTCCACGAGCGTGCGCAGACTGTCCGGCGCCACTATGAACAGATTCACCAACCTGTGCGCACACGCACACGGGCAGGCAGAGGGCCGACAGAAGACGGAGGAAGGAGGGTGCAGGGGAAAGACAAAAGTGCGTGGGGAAGGGAGGGAGAAGGAGGATAGGGAAGGGAGAATAGGAGAAGCGTTGAAGACAGTGAATGCATGGATGAAGAACAGCCCTGCAATTTACAAATAAAGAAGAAGAAGGTACATGGCCAATTGGCATGGCAGTTTGTGCAAGATGGTTGGCAGGGTGTGCGTGGGGCAGTAGAGTTTGCATTGGGAGGTGGAGTGAAGTGATGTGAGGTGAGGTGAGATGGCGTGCGATGAGGTGAGGTGAGGTGAGGTGCGGTGAAGTGACATACGAGCTGAGTGACTCAAAGAGTTCGTCGACAGTGGGCGTCTTGAAGGCGCGGATGGAGTCTGCATACTCGGACACATCCCTCTTGAGCCGCAGCCCACCGCTGCTCACAGGCAGACAGGCAGGCACGCATGCACGCAGGCAGGCAGGAATTTCATTCCACAACGGCGAAGCACAGCGCATCGCAGTGCAGGGAATGAATAACAAAGGAAGGGGGGCGGCACAGGCCGATGGATGGCAGTAGAATAGAGAGCACCAGGGAAGGAACGAGAAGAGGACAGACGGAGGTTTACATTACAGCATGGGGCGGTTGACATGAGGGAGGGAGAGAGGTGGATGCAATCCGAAGAGCAGGTATGTGAATTCAGTAAGAGGAGAGCAAGCCTGGGTAGAGCAAGTGTGGGGAGTGGTGCTGACCCGGGGTTGAAGGAGAAGCGCTGAATGTGTGCCAGCAGAGCCTTGTGCAGACGCACTCCCTGCATGGGCGGATTGTGGTGCAGAGGGGTCCAGAGGAGTGAGGTGCCAGCCAAGTCACGTAATTGAACATAAAAACAACAAACCAGGGTTTGAGATAGCAGAAGCAGTTTCCCTTCCTGCTGTTCCGGACCAAAATCCCCTGAATCAGATTCACCTCTTCCCTCCTTTTCTTCCCTTTACCCCTATTGCAACCCTTGCGACAGCTCACCTCACCGCCCCACAGCACACACCAACCGGGCAACAATACCATTGCAAAGCTCGCTACACGGCTTATGGCAGAACCGCCAGTGCACCGTCACACACCCACACCGCAACAGGCACATGGCAAGCACACAACACACACACACACACACACACACACTCGCTCGCACGCACGCACGCACGCACGCACGCACGCACACACACACACACACACACACACACACACACACAGCACGCACCAGCTCGAGCAGGAAGGCGTGGCGGTTGGGCCCCTCCAGTGCTGTCTGTGCCGCATCCACTATGCGCTCCAGATATGCCTTCACCCTGATGCCCGTGCCAGGGGTTGGCGGGAGGGGTGGTTAAGGGGGGAGAAGAGGGTCAGAAGCGGAAAAATGAGAGAGGTGAGACGGGGAAAGGGAGAGAGTGTGGTGCGGCATACGTTTGATAGATCAAAACTTCCAACTCTTGCACGAGGGTTGGGTGGGGAGGAATGGAGACGAGGCGACTTGGCGAGAAAAACAGGCGGTGCAGAACAGAGTGGAACGGACCGAATGGAAGCAGAGAAGGAAAGAGAAGCAAGTGGGGGAGATAGGATGAGAGAGGACAGACAAGTCAACAGACAGACCCCCTCCTTCCCCTCCCCCCCCATCCCCAAACCCCAGCAAACAAAGCCCAGAAGCGTGGGTGGGTGGGAAAAGAGGTGGCGAACTTGATGCAAGCGGTGGTGGGGCGGTGGTCGGGGAGAGTGCCGTCCTCGGGTGGTCTGAACTCCGTTGGCTTCTGCTCTGCTGCCAGCAGCCTCTCCACCTCGCCCACACTCGTGTCTATGCACACCTGCAGAAGGAAGGGCATGGGGGGGAGAGCAGCACAAGGGGGTGAGAACGAATTTTGCGGTGCCTCAAAGAAATGGGGGAGAGACAGGAGATTGGGGGAGCGACAGGTGTGGACGCAAAGAGGAGCTGGGGTGTGGGCACTGGAGTGGCGTGCCAATGCGAGACCAGGGAGCGCATGGCATGGAGAAGGGAGGGTGGGGAAAGAGGGGGGGGTGGGTAGAAGGCGATACTGTTGGTGTGAGCAGAGCACAAGTGCTGAAGAGTGGCAAGGGCAAGGATGTTGGAAAGGGGAGGGTGGAGGACGAGGCTAGCAGGAAAGGGGCGAGCAGGGCACGGGCGGAGGAGGGGGGAGGAAGGAAGAGTGAAGAGGGCGGAGGAAGAAAGAGCGAGGAGGATGGAGGAAGGGGTGGGGGGGCAGACCTGCATGCCACGCAGCACGACAGCCTCTGCCTCGCCGAGCTTGCGAGTCATCTCCTCCACACACTTGCCATGCGCCCCATCCACTGCCATCAGCAGCTCGCTAATCATCCCCTGGAAGTACTGGTATGCACAGACGAGTGTGACGGGGGTGGGCGGGTGTGGAGGAGTGTGGGGAGGTGTGGGAAAAGGGTTGTTGGGAAAAAATTGGGGAGAGAGTGCGGAAACGTGGGGGGCACAGGACCAAGGAGAAGTCACTGGAAAACGGGTTTGAGAGTGCACTAGTGGAGAGTAAAGACGTCAAACTGGGGGGAATGACGGAGAGAGAAGAAGTGCGGGTAGGGGAGCCGGAGAGGGAAAGACTCAAAAGTCGGCTTACAAGCAGCAGCGTACCTGCTGCACTGTGGAGACGGTAGCAGTGGCTCGTTTGACTGCTATGAAGAACGTGCGAATGCTCTGCTCCCCTGCCAATGCTGCTTGCTCCGCCTGTCACATCCCCATCCCCACACACCACATACATTCACACACAGCACACCAACAGATTTGAGCTGCCTTGAAAGTACACACTCGGACAGCTGGCGCATGCAGTGTTGGCAGGCCGGCCGCCGTGCACATGATGCACTGCACAGAAGCAAGCAGCAAGCAGCATGCAACAGGTGAGACGACAGACGACAGGCATGAGAGCAGCAGACTGGAGCGCGAGAGAGAACATAATCAGCAAGGGACGGATGGTGGAGCACTTGCTTTTTTTTAGAGCACTCCGAAGAGCAAACTCGTGATGGAGTCAACTGGGGAGGGCCATCATCAACAGTGATGGAGTTGTGTGGCGAGGGAGAGGAACCGGAAGGGGAGGGAGAGAGGGAGGTGGGGAGGTGGAGAGGCGCAAGACCGGAGAAGAAAGGGACCGAGAGAGTGAAGGGAGAGAGGCGGTGGGAAAAAGAGCGAGATGCAAAGAGAGGAAGTTCAAGTGGGGAAGTTCAGGAGATGAAGGCAAGGAGGAGGAGGGGCGGGGGAGGGAGGGGTGGGGAGGGAAGGGGGGGGGTGGGTTTACAGCGGCGGCGGCAGCTTGGGCGACTCTGCGGCTGACGGCAGTGCCGATGCTGAACTTCTCCCGCAGCGCTGCTGCCTCTGCCAGTGCCTTGCTCGCCGTCTCCAACGCTGACAGTGTGTACTCGCCCATCTGATGGGAGGGGACCGAAGGGGAGGGGAAGGGAGGTGGAGAGCAAGTGTCAAAGCGCCTCTGAACGCGGTTTTCAACGCTGAAAGAACGTGCTTGACAGGGAGGATACACAGAGGGGACTGCGGCGAGGAGGCATTCAGGCGCGTTGAAGGGGGTGGATTGGGATACGGCAAGGTGGTGACGGAAAAGCCAAGCAGCATGGGGGAGTGCAGGACAGAAGGGCGTGGGGGAACGTGGGGAGAGCAGATGAGCAGGTAATAACGGGCGCACCACAACGAAAAGGCGGGTCTTTGGATAATGCGGGCCCGTGATATTCTGAAAAGCTTACCACTTTTGATCTGCTATTGATAGACCAGAGCAGAGCAGGTACCTGATCGTTTAGAGTACCTGGTCAAGGAGCACGTTGAAGATGACTGTGACACTCTCCACCAGCAGTGCGGGCTGCTCAATGGGTCATAGGTTATGGGCGTTCACAATGGAAAAAGGAAGTCGGAAGGGTGTGTTGCGTGGGTGGTGCGAAGGAGGGCGGAAAAAAGGAGAGCAGGAGGAATTGGGTCAGGGTGAATGATCGCGTGTGAGGGAAGGAAGGGAGACGTGCGGGCACGAGCACGCGGCAGCGTTCGATGGCATCCTTGTTCCACTGCACACAGTCCGCCTCTTCTTCAACTCGAATCCAGACTCTTGCCCTTCCCCACCGCCTTACGCGGCCCCCCTGCCCCCTCACTCCTCCCACCCACTTCCCCCATTCCCCCCACTCCCCCCAATTCCCCCGTACCTCGGGCACGAGCACGCGGCAGCGCTCGATGGCATCCTTGTTCCACTGCACACAGTCCGCAACCACGCCTATCCCCCCCGCTCCCGGCGGCAGCAGCGAGGGCGTTGTGCGCTGCCGCACCAGGTTCCCAGGGGATCCCGCCGCCGCTGCCGCCGCCGCTGCAGATGCCGGGTCCAGACCTGGCCCTGCTGCTGCCTGCTGCTGCTGATACTCCGACTCGCACTGCGATCAGCCAGGGGTTGGGGGAGAGGAGACAGAGGATTTCTAAAAACGATCTCTGGTAGAATTTGAAACAAGAACTTGAGTAGAGTATTGCTGCTGCTGGTGGTAGGTAGTCCTGCTTATAACTCGCTTTGGGAACCCCTCCTCCCTGCTGCATGCTCATTCACTCACGGCATCACCTCCCTAACTAGCAGCCAGAGGCCACACCTAACTTAATCACAAAACAACACCACTCCCAACCGCTCCCAACCACTCCAGGCGAGCCCCAGGTCGCACCTTCTCTTCAAACTGCTGCATGAGCGAGCGCTGCTCCACCTCCAGGTACTTGTCCTTGTGCTCCGCGAATATGCCCTCCACCGTGCCTGGTGGGGGGAGGGGGAGGGAGGAACGAGGGGTGGCGATAGGGAGTAGGAGGCTTGATGAGACGCATTGGCACATGCTTGCTGCTCCACCTCCAGGTACTTGTCCTTGTGCTCCGCGAATATGCCCTCCACCGTGCCTGGTGGTGGGGGGGGGGTGGGGGGGAGGGGAGTGAGAGAGTGGAGGAGGAGGTGTGAGCAAGTAAACTATCAAGGTTACACGACCGCAGAAGACATGTATGCAGAGAAACATATCTGTCTGCCCTACAGCTGCTGATGGACTTTTGGAAGTCAACTCAACTCAACATCTGCCATGCCTGTCCGTGCAAAGAAATACTTCATGATACCCAACCACTTCAACACGAATCACATCACCCCGTACAAGCCACAAAACAATTGAGGGGCCCTCTTTTGAGACGTCTCAAAAACTGAGGACCGCTCAGCCCTCGCAACCTGCGGTAAAACGAATGGGGCACCCCTCATCCCTTACTCCTCACCACTCACCCCTTTCGACTTCCACCTCACCCCTTCCCCTTCCCCTTACCCCTCATCCTTTACCTTTCCCCTCGCCCGTCGCCCCTTGCCCCTTCCCCCTTCCCCTTCACCGCTTGAACTTCCTCTCGGCCATACCTTGGATATCAAGGTCCCCGCAGCCCAGGTCCTGCAGGCGCTTCGATAGGTCCACTGTCTTCTCGTATGAGAGAGCCAGTGTGCGCAGGTACTGGGAGGAAGAGAGGGGGATGGGGAGGGGAAGGGGGAGGCGGAGGAGAGGAGGGAAAGAAAGGGGGTGGTGGGGGGCGAAAGAGGGAAGGATGGATAGAGGGAAAGGGGGAGAAGGCGAGGAGCGGAGGGGGGAGGGGGGCACAGAGGGCAGAGCGCGGAGGCAAGGCGGGTAGCAGCAACAGAGAGCGAGAGAGGCACATGCAGGGGAGCGCAGCGCAGCGCGGGCACACGTACGGTGAGGAGGCCGCCCTGCTTGAGCGGCGGGGGGTTGTCGATGTTGGGCGTCTTGAGGATCTCTATGAGCACGTTGTGCACGCGCTGCTCCAACACTCGCTGTGTGAGGATGGCCATGACCGCCTTGGGGTTGGGGAACACCTGCTCCACCGTCTGCTGCTCCTCCTCCATCGTGTCTGGTGGAGGGGTGGGGGGGGAAGGGGCAGGGAGGAGAGGAAGGGGTGAGTTTTGAGGCGTCTCACGCTGTGTGAAGCTGGCCATGACCGCCTTGGGGTTGGGGAACACCTGCTCCACCGTCTGCTGCTCCTCCTCCATCGTGTCTGGTGGAGGGGTGGGGGGGGAAGGGGCAGGGAGGAGAGGAAGGGGTGAGTTTTGAGGCGTCTCACGCTGTGTGAAGCTGGCCATGACCGCCTTGGGGTTGGGGAACACCTGCTCCACCGTCTGCTGCTCCTCCTCCATCGTGTCTGGTGGAGGGGTGGGGGGGGAAGGGGCAGGGAGGAGAGGAAGGGGTGAGTTTTGAGGCGTCTCACGCTGTGTGAAGCTGGCCATGACCGCCTTGGGGTTGGGGAACACCTGCTCCACCGTCTGCTGCTCCTCCTCCATCGTGTCTGGTGGGTGAGTGGAAGGGGGAGGAGGGAGAGGAGGATGGGAGATTTGCTGGGGTCTCTACTCAGGCTCCTATTGTGAGGCGCCTGGCAACGTCAAGCAAAGCAATAGATTTCTCACCACACCACAACACACCACAACCACATCACGCCACAACCACACCCCAGGCCACCGCACTCCACCCCACCGCACGGCACCCCACCCGACAGAACCCCAGAGGGCGCACCATAAATCTGCTTGTAGAGGTTCCCGAGGCCGCGCGTGGGGTTGACGGGGCCGATGACGTTGGCAATGCTGGAGCCGGTCTCGCCCGTGGCAATGCGGATGTCGTTGCGCATCTTCTCCACGTCCATGAACATGGGGCGCGTCGTCACGTACCGGTGGATCGCCCTGCTGCCCTGCTGGAACTGTTGTTGCCCACGGGGACACGGGGGGTGGGTGGGTGGGTGGGCGGGGAGGGAAAAGAGTGGCGGAGGTGTGGTATGAAGTAAAAGGGGGGATCCACCATGTGTACGAAGAGAGAAAACCAGCAAGAACAAGAAAGAAAGAAAAAAAATTGAAGAGGCGGTGTGATATTTCTGAGCAGCCATTCACGAGCAGCTATGAAAGGCAGGCATACAGCACGATATGTACCTGTTCGAGGGTCTTAGCACAGTCCGCCATTGACTTGAGGTCCTTCTTTGCCGATGCTGCATCAAACTTCTGCAACAGCTTGTTCTCCAGATCTGCACTCCGCCACCCCCACCGCCACCCGCAGTGCACATAGGCAGGGGTTTCTTATTACGGTGCAGGAAGAATGCGCATAGACAGTAGATTGCGAAAGCACTGCACGCTGCTGTGGCGCACAACAGCAACAGCAGCGGTGGTGGCGGCAGCAGCAGCGCGTGAGAGCAATGGAGAAGCGCAGCAGCAGTGGGAGCAGTGGAGCACTCATGGCAGCGTAGACAAGCGAGGGGGCAGCGGGAGAAACAGTGCAGCACAGAGCACCGCACACAGCAGTGACGGCACCGCACAACACAGTGCAGAGCAGGGTGCGCACCGTTGCAGTACTCGTGCAGGTTGTCCACCGCCACCTCGAGCCCAGAGCAGAGCAGAACACAGAACAGCACAGCACACGGCACAGCACATAGCAGCGCACAGCACCGAGCAGAGCGGGGCACACACCGTTGCAGTACTCGTGCAGGTTGTCCACCGCCACCTCGAGCCCAGAGCAGAGCAGAACACAGAACAGCACAGCACACGGCACAGCACATAGCAGCGCACAGCACCGAGCAGAGCGGGGTACACACCGTTGCAGTACTCGTGCAGGTTGTCCACCGCCACCTCGAAGCTCCAGGCCAGGGCTGGCACTGGGACCACCCTTGCGCTTTTCGAGGCGCCTAGAAAATCACGTCACTACGCACCGTTGCAGTACTCGTGCAGGTTGTCCACAGCCACTTCGAGCCCTGGGCTCGCACTGGGGCCGCCCTTGCGCCCCTCCCCTGGCACCACCTCCCTCGCATCCTCGTCCTCCTCCGCCAATGCCCCTGCACAGTGCAGCAGGAGCAGTAGGGTTGCACAAGCGGGTGGAGAGATTGGGGTGGGAAGGGAAGGGGGGTCAGGGAAAAGGGCGAATGGTCCTATTCTGGTACCATCTCATACGTGCGAATGGTCCTATTCTGGTACCATCTCATACGTGCGAATGGTCCTATTCTGGTACCATCTCATACGTGCGAATGGTCCTATTCTGGTACCATCTCATACGTGCGAATGGTCCTATTCTGGTACCATCTCATACGTGCGAATGGTCCTATTCTGGTACCATCTCATACGTGCGAATGGTCCTACTTCTAGGGAAGACAGGTGGGAGGGGGGGGGTCAGGAGGGAAGGGGAGCCGGTTAAGAGGCTTAGAGAAAAGCGAACGGAAAATAACGAAGAGGCTGGAAGCAAAACACGGTAGGCGAGTGACACAAAGAGAAGGGCGGAGGCCATGCGTAACAGTGAGACGTGCAAAGGGAAAAGGAGGAGGAGGATGGGAAGGGCGGGAGAAGGGGAGAAGGGGAGAAGGGGAGAAGGGAGGGCGTGGGTAAGGGCGAGCCGTGTAACTGGGAAAAGGGGGGGTTGGGGCGGACGGGGGTAAAGGGGGGAAGGAGGATGGGAAGGGCGAATGGCGAATAGGGAAGGGAGAATGGGGGGAGCGCAGCGGGGCGGGCAAGGGCGAGGAGAGGGGATTACTGAGTTTCATGGCGAAGGCAGCAGCGCGGCCCATCTCCTTCTCGTCCAGGAAGACAGCAGCGAGCGGCAGGAACTGCACTGACTCGCCCCGGCTGCGATTGAAATCCATCAGATACTGGTTGGCGGTTGCACGAGGGAGAGCGGGCGGGGGGGCGTGGGAAGGGGGAGGAATTTGGGGGGGATAGGCAGGGGGAAGACGACGGGAGGGGAAGGACACGCACGTGGAGGGTTGGGAGGTGGGAGAGAGGGTGGGGGATGGAGGGGTTGAGGCAGGGAGTGATAGTGAGGGGGTTGCAGGGGGTAGAGGAAGGATGGAAGACAGCAGGAGATGGAAGGGCGATTCGGTGAGAAGTGCAATGCAGTGCAGTGCAGTGCAGTGCGGTACAGTACAATCCAGTGCGTACCTTGATGAGTTCCATGATGTTGGATGCGGTCTCTCGCTGTGCATCAGCGCTCTGCCATGGGAACAAGGGGAAGAAGCAGGCACGGGGAAAAGACTCGGTCGGTTGATTTAGGGAAAAGGCAGACATCGCACGAGATTGGTCGGATTCTTACCATGCAGAGTGCACAGGACAGCGGCACAGGCAGACACGCCAATACAAACACGCAGACACGCACACACACGCACGCACGTGCGCACACACACACACACCTCCACACTTACATGCGCGCACCCACCCAGCCACACACACCCGCACATGCACCCACCTGCAGGTGGTCACCGATACGAGCAGCCGTCTGCCCTACACCCGAGATGCGTGCATCGAGACGGCCAAAGCTGTCAAACAGCCCCTCCACTCCCCGCTCCAGCTGCACCCCATGCACCATGCCATGTGAGGGACGCGGCGGACAGAACCACACAGCAGGGGAATCAGTTTGAGACAAGGCATGGCATGGCACGACAGCCACAGCATACAGCGATGCAGTGAGGCATCAGCGGTGCAAGCCCCAGAGACAAGGCAAGGCATGGCATGGAGTTACGTGGCATATGGCAGGCACGGCACGGCATGGCAAGGCATGGCAGGCATGGTACGGCACGGCACAGCAGGGCATGGCAGGGCGAGCGCGCACCTTGCCGAGCGTCTCCTTGTGCTCGCTGTCCTGTGCCGCCACGTCCTTGCGCAGCCTCTCCAACCGATCGTCCACCTGCCCTCCCATGCATGGTTCAAGGGGACGCGGAGAAGGGGGGGAGAGGGAAGGAGAGGGAAGGAGAGGGGGGGGGGGGGGAAGGGGGAACCGGAAGGTAAGGTTGGGAAGAAAGGACGTGCAAGGGAGATGAGGGAAGATGATGGTAACAGCACAGGTGAGAGGCGAGAAGGGAGGCGAACCTTGAGTGAGAGGCTCTTTACTGAGACCACACGCTCAGCATAAAAACTCTGCAAAGTCAAAACCGTACAGCACCAGGAAGGGAGAACCGAAGACGGAAACCCAAGCGCCCCTCTACGCCACACCCCCCCCTGCATCCCCCCCATCCCCATGCCCCCCAACACCCCCCCACCTCGCGCCCACTTCCACCCAGTCCTCTTCACCTCTCCCGATCCCCCCCACGAGCAAAACAGAACAAAAGGCGGACTGAAAGCTCACCCGGCGGTTGAGCTCGAGCAGCTCTCTGCAGCTTTCACGGAAGAGCGGCAGCAGGAGCAGCGCCTCTGCCTCGGGGAGGCTTTCTGAGTGCACCTCGACTCGACTCAATACTCACCCGTTTTTAAGTCGACTCAAAAGCAGACTCAGAGCTCACCCGGCGGTTGAGCTCGAGCAGCTCTCGGCGGGACTCGCGGAAGCGCGGCAGCAGGGCCTCTGCCTCGGGGAAGCCCACGGGGCCGGATGACGGGTCGGACGACGGCAGCCCGTCGTCAGCTGGGATGCTGGGCAGGAACTCGCCCGCTAGCGTGTTGAAGAAATCGTCGAAGGAGAATGCGCCCTGGTCATGCGCGGGGAGTGGGGGCGCGGACAGGCAGGAAAGGGGAGCAGACATGAGTGGGGTGGGGGAGGGGTGGAGGGGGGGGAAACGCCAAGCTCGACAGGATGATGGGCAGGAACTCGCCCGCTAGCGTGTTGAAGAAATCGTGTAAACGAACACGCGCCCTGGTCATGCGCGGGGGTAACAGGCGGGGGGGGGGAAAGGGAGGGAAAGGGAGGGAAGGGAGATGGGGTGGTGGGGATGGGAGAAAACAGGTGAGGGTACAGGTGGGGGGAAGGGGACAGGAGCGCCTTGTCAGGCGCCTCACACGGTGGAACCCGCCCGCTGGCGCATGGAACAACTCGTTGCAGGGACGCAATCAGACTCCACACGTGCCCAGCGGCGGGGGAAAAAGTGAACCCTAGACGTGGCTCTTATGGGAAAAGGGGAGTGATGAGCAGGTGTGGCGTGAGAGCCGTGCGCGCGGGTGCAGAGGGCGGACGGTTGGTTCTGCGGGAGGACGAAAGTCCCAGCAGCAGACCAAAAGAAAAAAAGTATCCGGTTTGTGTGTTGCCAGTTGCCAAGGTGTGTCACGTTCACTTTTCATCGTGGTGTGCGGTGCAGATAGACTGATGAGAGGGAGCAGAGCAGGAAATAGACTAACGGCAACAAATGCCTGGCGCGGGGGCACGACCAGACCCACATGCGCGCGACGCACCTTGGGGCCCGCCCGCCCCGCCCCGCCCCGCGGCCTGCCTGGTAACATTCAACCCCACTCGCCTCTCTCCCCGAGAAAACACGAACGACACGCATGCGCAGGCGCACGCACACGCGCACGCGCACGCGCACGAGCACGAGCACGAGCAAACGCAGCGCGCCTTGACGATGATGTAGGCGCCAACAATTTCCCCCGCTCCCCGCCTGCTCCCCCCAACACGCACTCTGGCACGCGCAAGCACACGCACACGCACACGCACACGCACACGCACACGCACACGCGCAGCGCACCTTGAAGTCGTTAAGATCGAAGCTGACGGGCGGCGGGCCGGCGGGAGCGGGCGGAGCGGCGGCGCGTTCAGCGGAACCTGCGGCGGCATGGCCTCTTGTGCGGCGAGGGGCTGTGGCGCTGGCCGTTGATGCCTTGGTATAACCCGGATCCTGTGCAGGAAAGAGAAGAGAGGGGGAGAGGGAGAGAGGGCGAGAGCGAGAGTGAGAGAGGGAGAGGGAGGGAGAGAGGGCGAGAGCGAGAGTGAGAGAGGGAGAGGGAGGGAGAGAGAGAGAGAGCGAGAGTGAGAGAGGGAGAGGGAGGGAGAGAGAGAGAGAGAGAGAGAGAGAGAGAGAGAGAGAGAGAGAGAGAGAGAGAGAGAGAGAGGAAAGGGAGGAGGAGGGAGGAGGTATAGGGCATGAAGGGAGGAGGAGGTGGATATGGCTGGCTTGAGGTTGGTCGGCACAAATTTCTGAGAAATGTGGTGAAATGACGACGATATGGACAATACAACGACCGAGGAGATCCCACGGCCTTGGAGAAAATGGGAGAGACGCGCGCATTGGCGGATAGGAGGAAACCATGTAGAAACGCGAGTTGGTTCTGGGAGATAGTCTTTAGGCTGGCACCATAAACGTTCAATGCAACGGAAGAACAAGGCTAAATTGCGTTTCAAAAAATAAGGAGTACAACCCAGTCGATAACGATGCTTTGCGAATAAAGCGTGGTCGCATTCCCAGCAATTTCTAGAAACTACTGGCATGCGACGGATTGCCTTGCGACAAATAGAAGTAGGAATATAGCGGAGACTGTGCGGGACTATGGGTCATAGGTTGTGTGTACAATGACCAGGAAGGGAGCGAACAAAGAATCGCGATGCTCGCAGATCTTGGTAAACAAAACTACAGGAAATGGCTGATCGCAACACGGGAGACGGGATCAGCGACCGAAGAACCCAAAGGATGTATATAAGTAATAGGGGAAATAACTTGGCTTACCCTCCTGTATTTAGACTCCTTATCCATTCGAGCCTCCCTTTTCTAGGAACACCAGGTAGCAGAGGACTAAGAAGAAAACCTGGTGAGCGTCAACATCTCTAATTGGCGGGAGACTAGTAAGTCACTGACTAAGATCGACGCAAAACGGCAAGTCTGGAAAAGGACAGTGAGACGGCAGCGTGCTAAGATAACAATGAAGGCAAAGCTGACAGCTTGGCATGCCTGCCTGTAGGGAATCACGACGACATGTAACGAAGTCGAGTTTGAAATCAAGGCCAGGCGAAACACAAGCAGGCAGATGTGGCGGACGTGGGAGAGTTGAACGACCGTAGCGAGTATGGCACCCCGATTTCCTCGCCAAGAAGGGTATGTGAAATGCAAGGTAGCTACATGTTACGAGTGCAATTGAGTGAACTAACGAGAATTGCACTACCCAAGCAAGAGTACAATGAGCGAAGGCATGAGCGAAGAATATATAGCGAAACTACAGTGGTAACGGTAATGGACTGTGGTTGTCGCGCGACGGGCCTGGGACTGAGGTTGGGAAAAAGTGTCGAAGCGGAGGCCCGGAGCGCGGGTTACCCGCCGAGCCGTGAGGTCGGGGTGCGATGTGCGAAGGTGGCGGGCGGATTGTCGATGCGAAGGTTGCGAGTGGTAACGGTGCTGACTGTGGTGCTACAGTGATGTACGCGTTGAGCAGGGATGCGAAGTAAGGAAAAGAAATTTTCCTTACACTACATAAGTAAAGTAACCGTGTCATATACAAATGCAAAGCCTTGGGGAGAATAGCCTGTGCACTAAGCTACCGCAGTAATGCAACCATGTCATTGTAAATATGAAGTAAATTCTAAAATAAGTATTAAATATAATTATTCTCAATTATGTAATACATATTTATATTTATATATATATTAGGCCTAAAACTTGTATATTTGTTCCTATTCTCACTTCTGATAAGATAATCGTCCCGAATGTTTGCTGGACAAGAATGGTGATGTTCGTGGCAGTACAGCTAGCATCACCCGCAATCTGTCTGATCAGCCTCGCAGTCGAGCGACCAATGTGACTTCATGCACGTGACGTGGCAATCTGCGACAACCAGTGAGAACAGAGCAGTCGGAGGAGCCCGCCTGACCCAACCATGAGAGCCAAAATGGATTGAGGTAAGTTGGAGACTTGGTGTGGGCGTTCGCAATGCTCGCAAAAGGTCCGACTGTATTCGCACGATGCTTACATAAGCAATTGAACGTATCAGCTGCATTCACACACATTCGTCGTATCCTTTCATTTGAGTGTCACTGGCCCAAGAGATGCTCCAACCGTCATTCATGGCCCAAACTGTCTGGGACAATCCAAAAACGTGGCGGAAGACATGTCTGACGCGGAAAGAACGAGAGTGAGTGACATGTCTGCAGGAGCTGCACGCGCATCGGGAACAGACCCACAGAGGCGACGCAGCAGTGCATGGGATGGGATGGTTTTGGGGAGATGAAGAGGCAGGGTACGCTTTTCAAAGCACACACATCACAATTCATTCCCTATGGACAAATCGCAGCCATCCATATTCGATCGTCTCGACTCATCTCATCTCACTTGCACCCATCTGCGGCTTCCCCCTCATCTCTTCTTGACCCAACTCAAGCCCCCGACACGCACAGGCAATTGAACTCATCCACCCACACCGCACACACCCACTCCAACGATCGTTTCGAGAGTAAGAGGGAGGTCAACTCGAATGAGCAGCCTTTCTGGAGGGGTAGAGCACGTACTTCTCCAGTCTCCTTCGCTGCCGTGAGGAGACTGAGGATGAAGTTCCATGTGGAACCTCATCGCGGGGCACATCAGGGAAATTAGCAGCCATTTGGCGGCAATCACTTGCCTGTTCCCGGAAATTTCTGATGCATCCTCCATGCGCCTTCTCACGGGCATAGACGTCCGATACAGAATTTTAAGATTCCGGCAGATAGGCGTGCACGTGTATGTTGCGCACGTGCACATAGAATCGAGCGTTGTCGCGACGATCACGCCCCAGTAACATCGGACCTGTTCTTTCGCCGTCGCCGCGGCTGCCGCCCCGCAACGTATCCTTTCCGCCCCACGCTCGCTTTTGGGAGTTCTGCTAACCTTAGCCAACTCTTTCCGCAGCCATGGCGGAAGGGCTGTGCTCCGCAGCCATGCATCTAATCGTGCGCGCCGGTCGTAACAGCCGAATCAATCCTACGACCACAAGTCCCCCCGCTGTTGCCGCTGCTCTTTCCACCCCTGGCTCCACCTCGTTGGCGATTCCCGCCCAAATTTTACGTCGCTGCTTCGCGCTACCGGACCCCACTACCCCGTGCTCCGCCGTCCTCCACTCCTCATCTGCCCGCCTTGCGTCAGCGTTACTGTCATCATCATCGTCATCGTTATCGTCAGCAGCAGGATCGTCTCTCGGTGTTGCCGCCCGTGAATTTCTCCCGTCGTTCCAGACCCTCTCTGCATCAAAGTCCCCTCTCGCCGCAACTGCCGCCGCAGCAGCAGCGGCAACGGCAGCGCGCTGCGGTTCAACAGCGGCCGGTGTTGGAGCGAAAGCGGTCGGCGGACTGCCCTTGGGAGTGACGACGAGAGCGCCCGCCGTCTCGCTGCCCGCAGGCGCAGTTGCTGCAGCCACGACCGCCGTTTCCGCCCGAGCTACAGCGGCGGTTGCGGCGCGGGCTACGGCGACGGCGGCCGCAGCGGCGCCATTTGCGCGTTCGGCGGCGGGGCTGCTGCACGTGGCGCGCTCCGTGCTGACGCTCATGGGCGCGGGACTCACGGCGCTCGCCGCCACGCAGCTGCTCCCGGGCGCCACCGTGCACGCTAGGTACGCGCGCGCGTTTTCACCCACAAATTTTTAGTTTTTAAAGTATGGCCCTGAACTTGGTGAATAACAATTCGTTTCAATCCCGCCCCTTCCTTATGCCACTTATGACGCGCCCTCTTTTTTGTCGGATTTTTTTATTTCGTCTTGATCACGGCAGCGAGCGCCCCTCGTTCTCTCACGGCGTGTTGCACGTCCCTCCCGCGGCGGCCCACGCGACATCAGCGGGCGTCGCCGCCACGCGCCTCGAGTCTAATATTCCCGCCGCAATATCTTCTTCAGCTTCCTCCGCCGCCGTTTCGGCGTCGTGGTGGTGGCAGAAGGCGACTGCGGACTGCCAGTCGCAGACGGCGTCGCAGATGCCGTCGCAGGTGGCGTCGCAGGTTGCGTCCCACGCGCACTCTCCGCTGGCGTATCGCTCGTCGCACGTGTACAGCGTGAGGCGGAGCCACAGCCATACTGTGACTCCTAGCGCGGCTCACGGCGCGAGTCCTCCGCCGCAAAGGGCGGGTTTACTGAGCGCGGGCGGCCATGGCTCCTCGTTCTTAGATTCTGGGTCTTCTTTGAACGCTTCTCTCACTTCTTGGGCTCGCGCGTCCCATCTGTCTCGCTCCTCCTCCTGCCTTCCGCCTCTCTCCGCGCCCACCGACCTTCCTCTGTCCGCCTCCGCCGCGGCTGCTGCGCGCCAAGCGTGCTCGCCGCCAGCCGCCGCGCACTCCGCGCTTCTCAGTCCGCCTCCGCCGCCTGCGCCGTTCCGCCCGCACTCTCCACGGCTGGTGGCGCAATCCGCGTGGGAATGGCAGCTATGCTCTGCCACGTCGGAGTTGAATCCAGAGTCCGGGACCAATCAGGGAACGCAGGGACGGGAGGAGCGTGGGCGGGAGGGTGGAAAGATGGAAACGAGGGAAGAGGGCGGCCAATATGATGGGTGGACGATAGTGGGGGGGTTGGGCGGGATGAGAGCGGAATGGAGAGGAGGGGCGGAGGGGACGGAGAGAGAGGTGTGGGGGCAAAAGCGAGAGGAGGCAGGAGGTGGGTGGGAGCTGGTGGCAGGGGGAGGGACAGGAAGAGGGGTAGCGCGAGAGGCTGAAAGAGGAATGGAGAGAGGGAAGGACGGAGGGCTGGCAGAGGGGCGCGCAGGTGAGGCGGGGGCAGCTGTGCGCGCGCAGGGGGAGCGCACTGCGTGCGTGGCAGTGACGGGTGAGAGTGGACAGAGCAGGGAGAGGAAAGAGAGCAGAGAGCGAGGGGAGAGCAGGGAGCGGTGGGAGCAGTGGGAGCGTGGAGAGTGCAGCGAGAGGGTGCAGCAGCAGAGCATGTGGCGCAGTGGAGGGCGGCGGTCCATGGATGAAACACACGTGCTTCAGTCCGCTGATCAGCAGAACCACGCTTGGCAACCGCCTACTCGTCACCAGAGTCACCCCTCTGGTCACTCCCCTGGTCACCCCTCTAGTCACTCCCCTGGTCACCCCTCTAGTCACTCCCCTGGTCACCCCTCTGGTCACTCCCCTGGTCACCCCTCTGGTTATCCACTGCACCACACATCCTCCTCCTCACTCGCTCCCTCCGCACACATTCCCTTCCCGCCCTGCTCTCCCGGCTCGTCCCCTTCCCCATCGCCCAGCTCCACCTCCTCATCCCTTGCCTCCTCCTCCGCTGCGTCTGCCTCGCCCTGCTCCCCGCTGCGCCCCATGGCTCCTCCCCGCCGCACTAAACGCACTGATGAGCGCAGTCAGTGCACCACCACACGCAGTGCACATAACATGACATGTGCACAGGAGATCACAGAGGAGAGCGCACAGGAGACCGCACCGACAGGGGACAGCATGATGGGTAGTCAATGCAATGCGCTTCTCACACAACCCAGGGATATCCTTCCCAGAGCACCTCCCGTAACATGCTTCTCCTCCCGTGCCACACACGCCGTCACCTCCTCCTTTTCTGCAAGGCCTGTGGGAAGCAGCAGCGCCTTGGGTGCTCCGCTCGCCCCGGCTCCACCTGCAAGTTCCCCACTTGATTGCGCACAGCCTGCTTCAGGTGGTGCCGCAGGTGCGTCTGCAGCGGGTGTGGGGCTCTGGAACGAGCAGCAGCAGCAGCTTGAACAGAAGGATATGGATAATCTCACCCATGTACATAGGCATCATTCTCAAGAGTATCACCATGCTGCGCATGCGCATCCTCATGCACATGGGCAAGGGCGTGGGCATGCATATGAGCTTCTGTCTTCACCCACAGAAGCAGCGGCAGTGGCGGAGGCGCTGTGCCACTCGCAGTCGCGGGCGAGGGAGGCAGAGCAGGCAGCAGCAGAGGCGGAGAGCAGGCAGCAGTGGCTGGAGCAGCTGTTCTGGCATGAGTGCACGCGCTCATACTCCTTCCACCAGTGGGCGCACATGCTGCAGCTGCAGGTGAACCCTGCTGTGCCCGTGCTCTGGGACGGATGCATTTGATGCCTTTCAACCGTTTCAGACCTTTCAGCCCCCTCAGCCGTTTCAGCCCTTTGAGACCTTTCGGCCCTTTCAGAAAGCGCCTAAGTGCCTGTGTCTGCAGTTTGTGTTTCCTCTAGGACCTTGGCCTTCCAGCTTCTTCGCCAGGGTCCTTCTCCTTGCCTTGCACCTCTCCCTCTTCCAAATCCTCTGTGTGTGTTGTTTGTTTTTTGCATGGATTGGTGCGCATGCTGCTTGTGGAAACACAAACAGGTGGAGAAGGATCAGCTGCTCATGCTGATAGGTGCTGAGGCTGAAGCAGCAGCAGCAGCAGCAGCAGCAGCAGCAGGTGGGTCGGGCATCAGCGATACATATCACAGGGAGGCGTGGGGCTCACATTGTGCTGATGATGGCTGTGCATCTGAGCCATGTGCTGCTGGGGAAGCAGCTGCTGGTGACAGGATGGCGGAGGCTCTTTTCTCTGAACGAACCGGTAACAGCACACAAGTGCTGCGCCAGCAGCAGCCACTTCCCCAGTACCGTTACGAGCAGGGCCATCAACAATCAGAACAGTACCAGTACCACCACCATCAGCAGCAGCATGACCAGGAACATCAGCAAGAGCATCAGGGGCAAAGGCAAAGCAGCGCCAGCCGAAACCAACCTCCACACCCACCCTCCCAGCCCTTCCTGCCCTTCTCGCTCTTCTCATCCCTCTTGCCCTCCTCTCCCCTCTCCCGCTACCTGCTTCTGGGTGTTGCTTTCACTCTAGGCCTTGGTTTTGCTGGTGCTGCCTTTCTTCTGGGCTGGCGACTCGGCGTGGTGGTGGTTGTGGTAACTGCTCCGAATCCTAACAAGCACATGGTTGCTGTATCCAGTTCTTGAATCGGAAATGGATTAAGGTTGTTTCTAAGAGCCATAACTACCTTGAGAGGGTGATTTTTACTCGTCGTATGAACATATTTGTTGTCTGCAACACTCTGGCCAACATTCCCTAAGGGTTGTTTCTCCATTTCAGTGGAACCATTCAATAATCTAGAAAGCAATGTTCAAAATATCGAAGCCGTACACTTAGCACAGCACGAGAGTCGCACCTTGTCGCGTCTAGACTGGCTCCTGTCTTGTCGGAGCATTCAAGCCACGTTAGTCGCTGGGGACAATTTCGGGAAGGCATGCGCTTCGAACATTGTCGAGCGACTCGGTAAATTTCCACATTTCCCACATTGACATTTCCGCACATTCCACTTCCGAAAGAACCGTCAAATTCCGTACCATTTGCACCCACAACACAAACCCACACAGTCCACCACATCTGTTCCATGGGGGGGCTTCCTTCCTTCTAACCGTGACCGACAATGAAAGAACACGCGCGTCGATTCGAACACGAATCCTATGTGTGTCCCCTGTTTCTTTTCTCCGAGGTCGGTTGTCTCGCAACAGCTAGAGATTTAGAGATAAAACATTTAGAGATTGAACACACTCAAGGGTTTCCATAGTGTTTGTCATTCAAAACGAGACGTCTCGGCTGAGTCCTGTTCGTTCACGAGTCACGACGCGTAGATGTCTGGGTTTGAGGCACCTCGAGAGTACAAAGTTCGTTGATGCACAGGGCGAATCCCAGCCTGCATAGAAGCCACGTCGACGTACCAAGGTTCAGCATCGCAGTGTGTTCCACACGAGAGCGCCAAGAAACTACGTGAGCGTAATCATTTTCCAAACACACCTGACATGATGCTCGTAGAGCCCTGGAACGGTAACCGAAGAAAGCGGCAACGTCTTTATGTGGAAGCGCACCAGCAGCGATCGATGAATCGTCGAGCGTCGCGTGCCGGATCACGCCCGTGGCGCTTAGTATCACCTTCACCGCTGCTGATAGTCGCATCCGCTCTAACAGTCCTCATTCCAGCAGCAATCGCGGCATCGACGGTCGCCGGGCCTTTCAGCACGAAAGAACAGCGTTGGTGGGAAGTGGGCATCGGCTCTCTCCCGCGTAGCTCTAACGGCGGCAGTACTGCTGAACACGTTACCCAATGGAAAGGCATCATTGCCAGCAATCGCGTACAGCACAGGCACAGCAGCAGCAGCAGTCAATACAGAGTGCATATCACTCCAGGGAGCAGCAGCGGTACAGACAGCAGTTTCGGCAGAAGCCTGAGGGGCCTTCGGCAGAGCAACCACGTGGCATATAGTGATTTTGTCAGCGGCACTGGAGGTATCAGCAGCAGCGAGTACAGCGGGAATAGGAGGAGAGGAGTAGACCGTGCTTCCGTTATGTTGCCATGGCCCGTGTCTCGCGCACTGCAGCAGAGACGTAACGGTCAAGAGACGGCGGCCGCAGGGGCAGGGGCCGCCGGTGCGGTACCAACAGCGACAGCGCCGCAGAACAAACTGCCGGCGTCGCCGGACAAATCCACTTCGTCGTCACTGTCGCCGCCAGCAGCGGCGGCGGCGGCGGCGCCACCGCCGTCATCCACGCTAGCAATGGGCAGCTGCGCGAGTCCGGGCAGGGTGGCGGAGTGGCAGCAGCTGGTGCGACGACTGAAGCCCACGGCCGTGGTTGCGAAAGACGGCTCCGGCGACTACCGCACCGTCCAGGCACGTGCCTCGGCCCCATTCGTTGTCGCGTTGTCGCCCTCGTCGTGCCTCACACCGAGCATCCCTCTCCCGCAATTAAGCCGTGCTACGCCTGTAGCCTGCACCTCCCCCCTCTGTTACTTCGTTCCCCTCTTCTCATTCCGTCTGTACGCTCCCAGAGGGGACCCTCTGCTGCATTCCCCTTCTTCGTTGCACCATAACAGCCTTTCGCACCCAATTTTCCTCACCCAAACCCTTCCCACCCTAACCCTTCCCTCCCGATCTCCGCGAGAACAGGCGGCAGTGACGGCGGCGAGGGAGGGAGCGGTGATCTACATCAAGGCGGGGCGGTACGAGGAGCAGGTGCGAGTCGGCGTGCGACGACTCACCCTCCTGGGCGACGGGCCCAGTCGCACAATTCTGTCGTTCAATCGCAGCCAGGCTGGGCACGGGGCGTCGCTCACTGATTCGGCCGTGCTAGGTAGTGCAACACAGCATGCCTTCTTCTTGCCTTTGCTGCTGCTGCCGGCTACTTGCACTCGGACGCAATGCTGCTGCTGGCTAGGTGTACCTACCCCCATCTCAGCCTAGTGTTTGAGAAGATATCCCAGAAACAAACCGCTTACAGCGCCTTGTTTTTAAGAGTCGCACTCGTACCTCGCGACAGCGCCGGCAGCCGATCTTATCCAACCCCTGACCACCGTCCCTGCGTTCCTGCCCATGTGCGTGTCTTCGTTTGTGCTCTGTGTTTGGCAGGAGTGCAGATGTCGGGGTTTGTGGCAATGGGGATAGCAGTGGAGAACACGGCAGGGGTAGCTGGCATGCAGGCAGTGGCGCTACTCGTCAATGCGGACCGCTCCGCATTCTACCAGTGCAGATTCTCTGGCTACCAGGTGCGCCACTCGCAACCCATCCCACACCCCGGCAGATTCCACACACCTTCCCTCTCGCCTCTTCTTCGCGTCTCACCTCACCCTCCAAAGAACATGTAACCACAGCAATGAGCTTTCTCACCAGCATCGAGTAGCAACCAGTGAGCAGCAGCCAGTGAGCCGGGGCATGCTGCGTCTCACTTCATGCTTCGTGCGTCTTCCTTGATCGTTTCCCCACGAATTCCAACAGGACACGGTGTTCGCGTGGGGCAAGCGGCAGTACTACCACAACTGCACCATTGAGGGCAGCGTGGACTTCATATTCGGCTACGCCTCCGCCGTGTTTGACCGCTGCCGCCTGCGCGTGCGCAAGGGCCGCAACCAGAGCTACATTGCAGCCTCGGGCCGAGCCTTGGCGAATGATACGGGTGGCTTTGTGTTTATAGATTCAAGAGTTGAAACTGCTGGAGCGACCCGAATAGCTCTTGCACGGCCGTGGGGGATGTGTGCCCGCACGATCTACATCCGGACGTATCTTGACTCGGTATGCACACGTTTACTGCAGCGTTATATCTGGTGTGAAGTTTAAGTTCACCTCGTCAAGTGCATCTCATCATTCTGCTGCATCTGAACAACCTCCCTCCCTCCGTGTGTGACGCACCCCACCTCCCACTTGACAGAACATCATGAATGAAGGGTGGGAGGCCTGGCACAATCGCATCAACAGCCGCACTCCCTACTTTGCAGAGTTCCAGAGCTACGGACCAGGGGCACGGCCAAAGTTGCGGCCCTCGTGGGTGCAGCCAGGGCAGATCTCACCAGTAGTGGCCTCCAGGTTTCTCCCAAATGCTTTTATTGATCTGAGCTCCTGGGTTGGGGGAACAGGCCTGCCGTGTACCTTCTCATACAAGCTTTAGGGGTGTCAGGTAATAAATATTTGCATGGCTGTTCCAATCGGGCCTGCATACATGTATACAAGTTTTAAGCATGAGGAAATGCCAGTAGAAATATATTGCAATCAATCCATATGTGGTACTTGGAAACAGAACATGGGATGTTTTTTGGCGATAGTGAAGGGCTTATTATGGGCTGCTAGTACGTGTTGTCGTCGCACCACTATTTCGAGTTGAAATTGTTTCGACTCATGCAGTCGCGGACGATCAACCACCAGTTGCCTGCCACGTCTCAGAACTGCCACCCATACGGAAAGCTCCAGCTCCTGCTTTTGAAGCTTCTCAAGCAGCTTCTCACGAAGCTGGCGAAGTCTTTGCGGAGGAGTGAGTTACCCAATCTCGCGAAGCAATGACAGCCATTCTACGCCCTCCTCGCTTTTCGCATGTTTCGTCACTGCGCCTCATCAAGTGGAGCAACCCCAGTACTTCCAGTGCGTATTCCTCACCACTCCCTTGCATCCCTACCTGAATAAATTACCAACCGGTCGTTGCAGCCTAGTACTCAATCCCGCTCTAGGTACCTTGTTCGAATCTCAAACCGAGCCAGTCGGATTTGTTTCCCTAACTCCCCACCAGAGTTTCCTTCGCTGCTTCCAGTCCGTGGCTGCGGTTCTTCCCCGCCGTGTTTGCTTGCGGTTACTAGAACACGAGCATTTGTTCGCGCAATTTTCCACCACCGTACGCACTGCGTATCGCCACCATGGCTACCGTCGACGCCGAGCTTTTCCAGCAGAAAGACAAGAATCCGCTTGTGCTACTCGGTAAGCTGCTTGCCCTCCTGAACACGTTCCACAACGAGGCCTCCACGGTTCATAACCTGTAGTATCCCGCTACTCTATTCGTCAACCTCCGTGTCTCCGCCTCCGTCCAAAGGGTTGCGCACGCCCCAGAAGCATTATACACCTGGACCGTTCACGGCTTTTGAGTCGCCAAAGTTTAAGCATACTCACTACATGCGGTCTCCTTACCAGAAACTTGTTTCCTATTTAATCCCTCCCATGCGCGTCGTATCACCTACCAGGCGCGTTCACAACGGCAGCGGTGCTGGTGGCGGGGCTAGCGTCGTTCAAGCAGGGCAACGACCGACGCAGCCAGATGCTCATGCGCGCGCGCGTGGTGGCGCAGGGCGGCACGGTGGCGCTGATGCTGGGGACCATCGGAGTGGACGGGTTCCAAGAGCGCATGCACAACTTCTCGCAAAAATTCCTCTCTCCTCCCTCAAAAGGAAACCCAAGCTCGCAACCCTAAGTTCTTAAAACGGCTCTGGATACTTTTCTCGCAGCTGCCTTGGGTAATACGGTACTGGTAGGTCCCGCAAACTGATTTAGGCTTGGTTCCACGGAACTCTCTTTGCGATCACCTCCGCCTGTGGTCTGTTAGGAAATTGTCAGGACACCTCCAGGCAAGTGGTGCCAGCCAGTGCTTGAAGCAAGCCGCTGTTGGATGAGCATCTGCTGCCATGCAATGCAAGGCACATGTGGTTCTGGTCTCTGGTGGTTCAGGGGAAAGTTGTGTGCCAACATGTTCATAAATCTATACCTAGATGCTTGTTCTCTGTGCTAGAAGATACCACCTAAAAGATCTTTTTACTCCTTGGACCCAACCCGACCCAAGCCAACCTGATGTGTAACGCTCACACGGGGGGATACAAGTTACAATACACTGTACCCTGCTGTTACAGAGAGCAAGCACAACACCATCATTTACACAATCTTGCATAGCTTAGCAGGGAATTCTCGCTTGGTTTTTCCATGTATGCCACCTGATGAACCGTCCAGGCCAAAACTTCTTCAGCTGTTCCTTCGTAAGGACCTTAGGCTGTACCCCACGCCGCTCTCCTACCATCTGCAGCCCCAGGCCCATGCGACCCATACTCTGCAAAGAACGGGGACCGGCTCGACGGCCTCCCATGCCAAGCGGCCCACCCTTCAGCATTCACAACACTGCTCATCCTGCTCTCAATGAACACTGTTCTCGCATACATGCCCCACGGCCGGGCCAGATACACCCTCCCCTGCTGGCTCGCCTGAGTTCCCGGCTCACTGCCCTTCACCTCTGATCGAATAAACACAAACCCAGTGCCCTCTGAAGCCGAGGCTCGGCCTGATGCCGCCACGTAGACAGGTTCAGGGCTGGGCCGCGCAACGAGCGCGCAGCGATAGAACACAGCAGCAGCATGGCCGAAGATAAAGTCCGTAGTGCCCTCGATCAGACAGTGGCTGTAGTAATGCCGGCCTTCTTGCGCAAAGAGCGTGTCCTGGTATCCCGAGAAGCGGCAGTGGTAGAAAGCGGTCTTGTCGCCGTCGGACCGCGCTGCCACCGCCTGCTTGCCTTGCGGCCCTGCCGTGTTCTCCACGCCCAACCCCATGCCCACGAAATTCGACCCGTAAATGCCTGCAGCCGGGCGGAGGCGAGAGCAGGCACAGAGGACAAGGCAGGATTAATCTCTCAGAAGCTGGGGCCTGCATCATTGGGGGTACCTGCACGGCCGGCAAATGGTTACTGCAAGCACCGCAAGAAGCAATTCATTCACGAGACCATGCCTCCATGCACCCCATGCACGGGAGCCCCCATCCACGAATGCACCCCAAGCATGGGTGCCCCCATCCACTCATGCGCCTCATGTATGGGTGCCCCCATCCACGCATGCGTCCCATGCATGCATGAATCCACTACACGCACTGAGAGTAGCCGTGTCCATGAGCGGAGTGCCCTCCGCCTGGTTGCGCCCCGCCCGAATGACCGTGCGCATGTGCCCCTCCCCCACCAGCACCACGCGGTCCTGCCGCACGCGCACCTGCTCCTCGTACACGCCCGCGCGCACGTAGATCACCGCGCCCTTGGGAGCCGCCGCCATGGCTTCCTACCAGAAGGAATGGGCCGAGGAAAGGTACTAACGACGTAAGGTGCAAGTGCAGGAGACGCGACGCCTTTTGAGACACACACTTTTCAGACACGGGATTACCAATGGCGGAATCACGGGACATGCACGTAGTACGCGGCGTCTCGGCGTGATCATGACTCAAGATGATCGTACAACGTTGTAGTAAGTAGAGACGTTGCGAGATTGGCTTTGGTGTTGAGCTCGTTGTGGAGTGACTCGCTACGAGACCTACGATATCGGACTGGCAGCTACTACCCTGGGATTACCGAGATAGTGCGGTAGTTTCCGGTCCCGTCCTTCGCCACCACGATGGACGGCCGGAGCGAGCCAATGAACTCGCGCCACTTGGACAGCCGCGCCGGCGAGAGGCATCTGCCGGCAGCTCGCTGGCGTCGCGGCTGTTTGGCCGCCGCCATTGCTGTGCGCGGGTGGGCGAGGCGATGACGAAGCGAAGGAGGGGGGAGGGGCAGACGAAAAGGGCAGATGAAAGGGGCAGATGAACGGGGCAGCGGAAAGGGGCAGACGAAGGGGAAGAGAGGGGGGAAATGAAGAGAGAGGAAGGGTAGGAGGGGAGTTGGGGGAAGGGGGGGAGCGGGGAAGGGGCCTTTAGGATGTGCAGAGTGGCGAGAAACGCTGGATGCTCGGAGGATCGTGAATTGGGAGAGCAGAGCTGGTTGGAATGGGGAGTGGTCTGAGACGAGAGGCTTGAAGCCACGTGGTAGAGGGGGGCGGCGAGGAGGGAAAAGAGGGCGGGGAGGGGACACTTGATTAGCTGTATGTTATATCGCGAAGCACAGGAGGAGGAGAAATGTGGAAACGGGAAGGTAAGGGTATCGGGAAACCAGGTGTTTGGGGGTGGGGAATTGCTTCTAACGTTGGGCGGTGGAATTGAGCCAAGTGCAACACCGTGTTGAATGCGTTATAGGGTGGGTTTTCTCATTGAATGCGTTTCTTTAAAAGACATTAGAGATACGCTTGCAGCAAGAAGGACATGTCCTCACCAGTCACGGAGGCCGCAGCGACAAGGGTGTCGCGCGCCTCATTGCGGCTTCGCTTTTGCCCGTTGCTGATCTGTGGAGCGTCTGTGAATATGACATCCGCGCTCGTGGCGCTGCTGCTGCTGCTGCCGCTGCCGCGGTCGCTGCTGTCAAAGCGGCTGGCAGCTGCGGTCGTGTGGTGGGCGACGTGAGAGAGCTGCGCGAAAAGCACGAGGAAAAGGGCAAGTAATCGCGAAAGCAAGGCCGCCTGGAAAGGAAGAATCATATTTGAGAGGCCACAAGCGACAATCAGGTATAAGAAAAAACTATTGAAGTCTGATCTGCGTCGAGAACGGAAACTCAAGTACTTGGATGCATTGGCTGGCTGGCTGGGGATCAGGCGAATGAAAATGCTGGAATGGGGGGCTCGGTAAGAAGCGTTAGAAAACGCTGGGATAAGGTTGAGAGATCAGGTTTTCTGCTGGAGATAGACACGCGGCTCGGTGGTTGGTTTGGACGTCAGGCGACGCGGCAGGGGGGTTCGTCAGGCGATGGTCGGTGCGATTGTGATTGGTTGCTGAGAGTGCCTGGCCAGAGGCAGCACCGTTTAAAACCAGACTCCGAATCATTGCAAGTTCCTCTCTCCATAGATTGGTACATTTTGACGTGTATGTGCCTTATTTTGGCAAAAATTGCAGTGCGCAGCTTAGCCAGCAACGGCATACATGCCAAGAAAAACTCATCGTTTCTAAAATCTCATATGCCAAACGAGTGCAACGAAAGTACAGGTTCATTGCACCAAATCATCTGCAACCATTTCCTTGTTCTGCCTCTGTTGATTACTGCCGTCCCTCTGTCCTCCCGTCCTGCCTCTGGCCGACCCATGCATCATCCCACGGCCTCTCCTCCGGCCAAAGCTAACAGACCGGGGCACAAAGTCCGACGTGGAGAGGCGAGATACAGCCACTGCAAGCTTGTCCACATCCATGCCACCTGAGTCAGGGACGACAGGGCTTGACGCTGCTGCTTCCAATGGACCTCCTAGGTTTTCTGTGGCTCCGCACGTTGGTGTGCCATCACCCCCTGGTACTGCATACACTGCATCACTAACCTTTACTGTGCCAACTGTGCCAGCCGTGCCAGCACCACCGGTGCCACCCGTGCTATCTACACCACCTGTTACACCTGCATCACCACGAGCTCCCATGTGCCCAATCAAATCTGCAACATCCCCCCCACCAGCATCCTTCACAACCTCTTCACGCTCCACTTCCATACCCCCTTCACCCCCCACCCCACCCCCCTCCCCACCTCTCCCCTCTCCCCCACCCTCACCCTCCCCATCCATCTCCATCCCAGCTCCCCCTCTCCCAACCCCCCTCCCCCTCCCACGCCCTCCTCTCCCTCCCCTCCCCCTCCCCCTCTCCCCACCTCCCATCCCCCCCTCTCTCCCCCCTCCCTCCCCCTTATGCTGCGCCATCTGTCGCCGTCTCCGCTGGGAGGGGTGGGAGTGGGAGAGCGAGTGGAAGTGGAAGGAGGGCGGGTAGTGGTGGCGGTCCACCAGGTGCTGCTGCCGAACAGCGTCCGAGGGGAAGCGGTGCGTGCATGTCTCCACCAGGCACTCGTACATGGCCACCCCTCGCGCCACCTTCGCCTGCACACCGCGTGTGTTTGCATGCGGCATGGATGGGTGATTGCGTGAATGCACGAGAGTGTGAAATCATGCATGCGTGGATGTGGGAGAGCGACAGGCGACAGCACTTGGTTAGATGCAAGCTGCAGAACAGCAGGCACGGTACAAACGGCAAAATGCACCAGAAGAAACACACGGCGAGAGGCACAGTCACGGGTGAATTCAGCTTACATAGTATACTGCCTGAAGGGATGGTTTGGTGGCTGACCTGGAAGAAGGAATCATGGGCTTCTGCCACGTGGATGTTGAGCAGGCGATTGGAGGGAAACGCCTTGCTACACGTGGCGCACATCGCGCGGTGCATGGCCTGGTGATGCGCGTCCAGGGCCAGAGCTCCCTGCACCACCACGTGGCAGCCTGGGATTGGGCATCTGATAGGCTCTTCGAACGCGTTCTTGTTTATGATTCGCTCTGTAGCCTCGGATACTGCATCTGCTTTATGCGCGACAGCGCCGGATAGTACATCCGAAGCTTCAATTGAAGGAGGTATGGCGCTTGCATTTCCTGAGTCAATATCTGTCGCCTCCGTGTTAACCGCCATGGCGTCACCTTCTCTCCTGGCTTCTTCACTGGCTGCATCTGCACCGTCGATTCCGCTCGCCAAGGACTCTCCTGCGCCGTCCGATTCTCCCCGCACTTGTCGCATGATGGCCTCTACTTCCTCCGCAGTCACCAGTAACGACAGCTGCTTCGCCAGCAGCTCCCGTTCCGCATCTCCCGCCGCGAAGAACGCTCCCCCGACCCGCTGGCGGCGCTTCCTCCCCGCGAGCGCGGGGAAGCGGAAAGTCGCGGGCTGGACGGAAGCGCCAACGGTTCCGCCTCCGCACACTGCGCCTGACCCGTCTGTGGAAGGCGCGGGTGAATCCCCCTGCGGTGCAAGGCCGGGGACGGCGGAGAGGTTCGTCCAGTGAGTATCCAGTCCGTCAGTCATGGCTGATGCTGGCCGGCTGGCAGACGGCTGTGACGTTGGGTAGTTCAGCGTGATGACGTGGCAAGGCGGCACGGCACTCGAGGCAAGGAACTGCAGCTGACTGAACACTCAAATCTGTGCGATGCGAAGTTTGTCTTGCAGCAACGGATCTCATTTTCAGGACCAGGTTGCCTGCTCCCACACTTGATAAGTGTTACGAGTGCAATTGAGTGAACGAACGAGAATTGCACTATCGAAGCAAGAGTACAATGAGCGAAGGCATGAGCGAAGAATATATAGCGAAACTACAGTGGTAACGGTAATGGACTGTGGTTGTCGCGCGACGGGCCTGGGACTGAGGTTGGGAAAAAGTGTCGAAGCGGAGGCCCGGAGCGCGGGTTACCCGCCGAGCCGTGAGGTCGGGGTGCGATGTGCGAAGGTGGCGGGCAGATTGTCGATGCGAGGGTTGCGAGTGGTAACGGTGCTGACTGTGGTGCTACAGTGATGTACGCGTTGAGCAGGGATGCGAAGTAAGGAAAAGGAATTTTCCTTACACTACCCCCCCCCCCTAAGGAGGTCCTCCTTACGAGAGTGCGTGTACATCCCTGAAATTTCGGCTGCGCAGATACTCGGTGAGGACGGGGTGGTTTTCGATTCTGTCCAGGGGAACCCAATTGTCTTCGGTGGGTGTACGGTCCTTCCAGCGGAGTAAGAACTCGATCCTTCGGGCTCCTCGAGGGTCGCGAACTCTGTGACTCGGCCCGAAATGGTCCGCAGTATCGGGGGCGGAGTTTCGGAGTGATGGGCAGTCGGAGGTTCTGAGTGTCAAGTAAAACTAAGTCGTCGGGCTGGTAAGTGACAGGTCTGCGGTGGCGGTCGGCGTTGCGTTTAGCGATGATGTTCGATTTTTTTATTGCGTCTACTGCCCGGGTCCGTGCTGCTTGTAATATTTCGGCGAACTGTTGTGCTCGTGGTACTGGGTTGTCGGGATTCGGGGTCATGGGTACTGCTGGGTTGTGGCGGATGGCGAGTTGTTGTACGCGAATTCGATTAGTGGAAGTTGCTGTTCCCCCGTGGTCGGGTCGTCACACGTGGCCCAGATGAGCTGTTCCATGGTCTGATTTGTCCGTTCTGTCTGTCCGTCGGTTTCGGGGTGGTATGATGAACTGAACTGCAGTCGCGTGCCGAACTGCTGCCACAGGTTCCGCCAGAAGTTGCTGGTGAATTTTGTATCGCGGTCGCTGATGATCGCGGCGGGTATCCCGTGTAGTCGAACGACGGTGGAGATGAAGAGGCATGCTGTTTCTTCGGCTGTGATCGATTTTTTGCAGGCTGCGAAATGTGCCATTTTCGTTAGTCGATCGACGACGACCAGGATCGCGTCGTTCCCACTCGCCCCGGCTGGTAACCCCGTGACGAAGTCCATCGTCACCTGCTGCCAAGCACGCTCTGGGGGTGGTATCGGCTGCAACTGTCCCGCCGGCCGCTGTCGTGATGATTTCATGAGCTGACAAGTGGGACACGATGCCACGTGTCGTTGTACGTCGGTCAACATTTCGGGCCAGTAATAATACCGCTGCAGCTGCTGCCGTGTTTTTTCTACTCCGAAATGCCCCGAAGTAACTCCGTCGTGTGCCTCTTGTAACAGTAATTCCCGTAGCAGTGTATACCCAGGTACCCAAATGCGGTCAGTCCCTGTTTTTACGTAATAGACTCCCTTTGCTGCTGCGAACTGCTGCGAATTTCCTCCTGTGAAGAATGGATCCGTCTGGTACCCGTGGGTGAATAGGCCTGTCAGTAGCGGGCTTGTCTGGGCGAGTAGTATTGCGTGGATCTGGGCAGTGGGGCGGGTCAGTGCGTCGGCGATGTTCGAGGCTCCCTTTTTGTAAGTGACCGTATAGTGAAAGTTGGACTCGAGGAAATCGAGCCAGCGAATCTGTCGTGGGTTGAGGTGTGGCTGTGCGCGAAGGTACTGTAGTGATTTATGGTCTGTCCGTACTGTCACGTCCGCGCCAGTCAAGTAACAGCGCCATACTTTGAACGCGTGCACGATCGCAAGCATTTCGCGGTCGTGTATCGGGTAATTTTTCTCGGGCGGATGCAGTTTTCGTGACTCGTATGCGATAGGCTGTAGGCCATTGCCGAAATCATGTAGCAGTACGGCTCCGATGGCGATATCGCTTGCGTCGGTAACTACTTCGAATGGGCGGTGTGGGTCGGCGATGCGCAGGACGGGCGGGGAACAGAGAACATTTTTCAGGGCAGAGAAGGCAGCATGCTCTTTCTCCCCCCACGTAAAAACGACCCCCTTCCGCAGTAAGTCCGTCAGTGGGGCAGTTAACCGTGCCATATCGGGGACGAACCGACGTACATAATTAACGAACCCTAAAAAGCTCTGCAGCTCCGTGATGTTCGTCGGGGGATGCCACGCTTTTACCGTATCCAGCTTCTTTGGGTCGATTTCAACTCCAGCCTCCGAAATAACGTGCCCCAAAAATTCTAACCTATCCTGGAAGAACTCGCACTTGGAACCCTTGGTCAGTAATCTGTGCTCGTCTAAAACCTTAAACACTGCTTCCAGATCTGCTAAGTGCTGCTGCTTATCCCGACTGTACACTAGGATGTCGTCGAGGTAAACTATTACACATTTATCTAAGAGCGGCCTAAATGCCTCGTTCATGGTCATCTGAAAAGTCGCCGGTGCGTTGGTCAGCCCGAATGGCATCACAGTGTACTCGAACGACCCGTACAAAGTCCTGAAAGCTGTTTTGGCGCAGTCCGATGGTTCGACCCTAATCTGATGGTAACCTCCCCGTAAATCTATTTTCGAAAAAACCCGTGCTGTTCGCAGTTGGTCGATCAGTTCGTCGGCGCGGGGAATTGGGTACCGCGACTTGACTGTTACCCTGTTCAGTGCTCTGTAGTCGATACACATGCGAAAACCCCCGTCTTTTTTCGGCGTGAATAGTATCGGTGCGGCGAACGGTGACGAGCTCGGTCTGATGAATTTTTTCTCTAACAGGTAATCTAACTGCTTCCTTAGTTCGTCGAGCTCGGGCTGTGTCAGTCTGAACTGGCGCTGTACGGTGGGCTGTGCCCCCGGTTCTAATTCGATTCGGTGGTCATGTGCTCGCTGAGGTGGCAGTCCTTCCGGTAAGTCGTCGGGGAAAATCCCGGGGTATCGTTTCAACAGTTCCTGTAATTCGGGCGGTACGGCTCCCAGCAGTTTCTTGAAATCACTCGGCTGCTCTGCTTCCTCTACTACTGCGATGTCTACTGCGTACACGTCAGCTCCAGCAGCGACAGCCCGTTTCATTGTGATGGCGTTGACGTGTACCGTTGAAGACTCGGGCGACTGCCAGCGAGGTAGCTCGACCCAGTTACCACTACTTCGCACGGTGCAGCTACCCGTCGTCCAGTCAATTCGCGGGTTATATCGTCGCAGTCAATCACGTCCCAGTAAAATATCGTGCCCATCCAGTGTCGTTGCGAGCATTTCCTGTGTAAACCCAAAATTTCCCCCGTAGCGGACTTTGATTCTCTCTACCTTTTCCCGTATGGCCAGTGGCGTGCCGTCGACTAAGCGTGCGTCTATCTCCGGTAAGCAACGGCTAAGTGTCAGCTGCAGTTTTCGTGCGGTTGCGGTATTAACTAAACTGTGGCTTGCTCCTCCGTCGATAAAAATCTTCACTGCTGCTCCCTGTATTTTCCCGTGGATCAGTACTGGGCAATCCGTCGCTGTACCCTCCTTATTCGTCCGAGTCCGATCGATAGCATGAATCGGTACTGTGACTCGGTGAGGGTCGGTGGGGTTGGGCGAGCAGGCAGTCTCGTCAGTAGTTGGCCCGGTTCCTACTGACTGCTGGCGTTTCCCTGCCTTGGAGACTCCCTCCCCTGCTCTGCTCCGCGGCGCCTTAGCTCCTCTGGGCATTCGCTCTTGCGATGGCCCGGCCTGTTGCAAGCAAAGCAGCGCCCCTTAAACGACGCGGCAACTGCATTCGTCGCAACAGCGTGTACAGTGGCGTGCTCGATCGGTCCCCGAGGACGATGTCCATAGTAGGACCCCGGTCTCGGACGGCGTAAAATGTCGATTTTCTCGGCGAGCGCGAGAATCTCGTTGAAGTTCGAGAGCCCGCGTAGCATGATTTCGTGCGAGATGTCCGGCTTCAGCCCTCCGACGTAACGGTCCACCCGCTCCGCTTCGTGCATGTAGCCGACTTGCTCGCATAATGCGAGAAAACCACTCGTATAGTCTTGAACCGATCCGAGCTGCCGCCAAGTGCGCAATCTCTGACACGCCGAAATAGAAGCCGCGATCGGCTCGAAGCGCGTCCGAAGCCCTGCGCACCACGCATCCCACGTGCTGTATTGGGCGGTCTCGCAGAATGAACTCCAGGTGACAGCTGGACCCGTGGGCCCTTCCTCTTGCGACGGTGGCTCGTAGGCGCGTGGCGACGTCACGATGACTCGCCACCAGTCCATGGCGGGGCCCCTTAGCAGCGAAACTGCATAACGAATCTTCGCTGCGTCCGACTCGACGTAATTCGCGTCGAAGAAGACGTTCATCGTGAAGACCCACGATTGAACCGTCGGACCTCCACGCTGGCTCGGGTCGAAGCAGGGCGGGCGTTGCGGCTTGAGTGGCATTGGTGCCATGATGGCCTGTTCGCCACTTGTCGCCGCGAACTCCACGTGCCGACGGGCTTCGCGAGGCTCCCGCGGGCTTGGTGCGACCCTGTTTCCTCCCATGCCAGGCATCGGCTGGGCGGCGCCATCGCTGGCTGCGCCTGAGCGCTGTCCCACGCTGTTGTTTTGTGTTGGTGTGCCGGACGAGATGACGATCGGCTCGTCTGATTGTGCAGATGCATTTGTCGGTGCGTGTGGTGGCGCTGGAGTGTTCATCGTTGATTGCTGACGCGCGGAGTCACGTTCCGCCGTGAGCGTCGCAATTTCGAGCGCCGAATCTTCGAGTTGGCGCACCAGACGGTCGAGCTGCTCCTGCGTCAATGTGGCGAGCGTGAATTCGGCCATGGCGGGGGTGTCGGGCGAGCTCAGCGAGAGCCTCAGTCGTAGCCGTGCGTGCTTACGAGAGAGCAGTACGAGCGGCGGTGCTTGTGTCGCTGAGAGACGTCCACCCCCCCCAAAAATTGAGATAGTGGGGAAGCGAAGGTGTGGGTGCGGTCCGAGAGGAGATCGTAGGCTCTGAATACCAAGTGTTACGAGTGCAAGTGAGTGAACGAACGAGAATTGCACTATCGAAGCAAGAGTACAATGAGCGAAGGCATGAGCGAAGAATATATAGCGAAACTACAGTGGTAACGGTAACGGACTGTGGTTGTCGCGCGACGGGCCTGGGACTGAGGTTGGGAAAAAGTGTCGAAGCGGAGGCCCGGAGCGCGGGTTACCCGCCGAGCCGTGAGGTCGGGGTGCGATGTGCGAAGGTGGCGGGCAGATTGTCGATGCGAGGGTTGCGAGTGGTAACGGTGCTGACTGTGGTGCTACAGTGATGTACGCGTTGAGCAGGGATGCGAAGTAAGGGAAAGGAATTTTCCTTACAATAAGGAAGAATTGGGGACTCGTGTTTGATTGACTCACTGTAACGCAACACTTGAATTTCGGTTATTTGCGGTATACAATCTCAAACACACGCTCCTTCGTGTTCCCCTCACAAACCAAAAACGCTGCTAGCTCTCATTTGCTACCCCTCGATATTTCCTTCCGACCTCTCCCAACCTCCCCAAACCAGGATATGTAGCGACCCATCCCTGATTTGCTGCTCATTTCTCTACCACCAAATACGCACCGCCATCAGCCATGGCGGTTCTCTCCTGCGCTGCTGCACCTCCGTTGCTTCGCATCGCTCAGTCATCCCGATCCTCCTCGCCCGCCTTCTCCTCCTGCCGCTTCGTTCCTTTGTGCTCCTCTCCCCTTCGCTCTTGCCATCTCACCTCCACGCGACCACGTCTACCCTCCCTAGCAAACTCCGCGCGTTTCCGCGCACATCAGCGCTCCGCGCATGCCGCGAGCGCCGTCCGACCAGCAGAACCGGCCGCCTTCGACACCCGCGCTCCCCACCTCACATGCGCGCGGGGAGCACTACATTCCGCGCACGCCAATGCCGCGCGGATACCACAACTGGTTACTGCCGCTATTTCCGCGAATGTCGACGCGCTGCGAGCTAATGCCGTGTGGGTGCTGGCGCGGGCAGGCGTGGGCATAAGCGCGGGGCTGGCGTTGGGAGTTCCGGGGGCTCTTGCTGTGGGCGGCGAGGCGTGGACTGACGCGGTTGGGGACCTGGAAACGCCCTACTCTCCCGACGCCGCCACGTTCCTCCCGTTCCTGTACGTCCCTGTGCTTCGTACTCTTCTTTCGCTGGTGATACCTCTGGCTGTACCTCGGAATGTCTGTCTGTGTGTTTGCGTTGTGTTTGGTGGTAATGGTTGTGGACCAGTTGAATAGGGAGGGAGGTGTACACGCAGGCATACGTGTGGTGGATGCTGCAGACGCGTGCGAGGAGATAGGCCGTTCCTGGAAGAAAATACTGGTGTTTGCAGATTACGAAAGCACGCAACCTGATTCATTTCTGCTGTGATGCTGCTCGTGCACCATGCTTCATTCGTCATCCAGCACGCATCTGCGTGTCCCTCATTCTCTGTCCCATCTTATTCCCACCGCTCCTCCAACAACCGCCTCCAATCTCCCTCCACCTCCGTTTGCCTTCATCCCCTTTCACCCCGGGCCCCTGTCCATCAGCATTGCATTCCTGGTGCTGTTCTGGCTGAGCAATTATGTGGCGCCTCTTTAGAGTCGACTCAAATGTCATCTCGTTTGCCTTTCCCCTGTCACCCCGGGCCCCTGTCCATCAGCATTGCATTCCTGGTGCTGTTCTGGCTGAGCAATTACGTGGCGCCTCACTACATTTTCAAGGACACCGTCTTTAGAGAGGAGGCTTCAGAGGACGGCACTGCCAGCGTTGACGGTAGCACACAGCAAGGAAAGCAGCCCACCAGCTCTACCAGTGCCGCCAGTCTAGGGGAGGGAAAGGGTTTTGGCAAGAAGTGAAGAGAGACTGCAGTGCACTGTACAATCCCCTGGACCACCAGTTCTTGTGTGCGCCTTGATGATTGTGAAAGAAAGCCAATGTAAAGCTCCAATTACTGCCCGAGCAATCAAGAATGAGCTTGCTAATGCAGCCAGTGATAATAAAGTTCTTGCTCATCTTTGTCATACCTCAAATCAATAAAAACAAACTTTGTCATTGTAACAATAATGTATGGTAATTCGTCCCCAGCACGACGCACTATGCACTATCAGAAGTGGCTGCTTCACCATCCTTGGCAGCCTCTCCATCTGCCTTCCCAGCAGCGGCAGCAGCGATCTGTGCAGCCATGCCCATGAGAGGTGCGTGCACTTGATCAAAGACTGGGTTGCACGCGGCCCTTACTGCCTCCAGCCATGCCCGCACCTTCTTGTGCTCGCCCAGCAATACCTCCTTGCCCTCCGGGCCCAAAAACTGGTTGGGCATGAGATGGGGCGACAACACAGAACGCGGAGTGCGGAATGCAGATTGCACAATGCGGAGCAAAAACGGAAGATAGAGGTTAGCCAATGAATGCAGGCGGAGGAGGGTTTGAATTCAACTGTCAGTGACAAGGAGCTTCGCATGTCCTAAGGAGATTCCTAACTGAAAACAGCAATGCTGGCTCACCTCCAGCTGCGTTAGCTCGCATGCAATGCATAGGTCAGCCAGGGTGGGTTGCGCATTCCCGTCCAGGAACTTAGGCGCGTCTGGGTCGTCAGGGTTTGCCTGTGCGAGCATGATGCTCTCCAAGGCAGAGAGCGACGACTGGAGCCCACGGCGGGACAGCGCTGCCACGTGCATGTCGCCCTGCACGCCGAACATGGCTGCCACCACCTCGTTGAACACTATGCCCACTGGAGGTTAAGTGAGAAACAGAGGAGCGGAGGGGGAGAGGAAGTGCGGCGTTGTAGGGTGACAAGTGCGATGGACCAAGGGCATTCCGGTTACGGCATGGCTAGGGAAATGTAGGGAGGAAGGTAAGGATGGAACAATGTGTTGCGATTGTTGGCGTGAGAGGGGGGAAGTACCGGTGTTTCTGCGCGTGTTGGTGTGGTGCCAGTCCAAGAGCGCGTCAACTCGTGCTCGCTTCTGCACATCACGTGGGTACCATGAATCGTCGCATGGGCGAGATGCCACGACGTACTTGAGAATGGCGTGGCTGCATGCGTGGAGTGGGGTAAGGCGCACATAAGCACACGCGGAGCAACACACAGTGAGTTGGTGTGTGTGTGTGTGTGTGTGTGTGTGTGTGTGTGTGTGTGTGTGTGTGTGTGTGTGTGTGTGTGCGATCCTATGTGGGTGTGCCTCACGAGCTTATAGTGAGAAAGCGAAAGAGATAGAAGCCCGGAGAGAGAGAGAGAGTGAGAGAGAGAGAGAGAGAGAGAGAGAGAGAGAGACAGAGGGGGAGAGAGAGAGAGGGGGGAGAGAAAGAATGGGGGGAGGGCGGGGGGTCACTCGATCTGTTGAAGTATACCTCTCGTTCAGTTTGAATCCATTATCATCCAAAGCGGGCACCAGGCCGTGCGGGTTCACCTCTGCAAACACACATCCACACATTTAGTCAAGTCACAATGCAGAGAGGAGCAGACAACATGACAAGCCCTGGTAACACAACAGCGAGCAGATCATCTGAGCGACACGTCGGCTTGAAGTGATGGATTGCCAGTGGCGGGCTTCTGACTCGGCAGGCATTGTACCTTTGAATGCGGGCTGACGGTGTTCACCCTTCATCATATCCACAATACGCTCTTCATACTCGACAATGTTCAACCTGCACAGAATACAGTTGTTATTCTAATTAGCATTTAAATGTAATTCAAAACAACCGTACGTGACTTCATGATACCGGCCAATGCGGAACCTGGACACGAGTCCCCCCCTGTAAAATCAACCGCAGCAGCCTCGTAGCAGCATGTGAAGGCTCCTAAAAAAAATATGAACGACAGGTCACAAACGACAGCTTACTTGAGGAAGATGCTGACCGAGCGGGATGGCTGCGAGGCTGGGTGCATATAGATTACAAGGCCCATTATGGCAGGTATAGGAGAGAAACGAGACTTGGATTAGAAATGATGGATTCACGGCAGCAGCCAAGGGACCCTAGAGTTGTATGTGGATGAATTCAGGGATGTAGGTCACAACCTATGCAGAGCTGTTTTCTAATGGTTGTGGCTACGTACGGCAACAGCAGCAGCGGCGGAAAGCACAGAAGCCACTTGACTAGGAGATGGATGGCATAGCGATGGGTAAATGGAGGCAGGCAGCTGCGAATCGTCAGTTTACTGTTACCGTTTCGCCACAGGATGTGCTGAGCGAGATTTCATGTTGGCGAAAGGTCAAGTAACAAATGTGTATTGGGGGCAGATACTGCACAATCGTAATTTCGAAGGTTCCAGAAGCATAATTTCATAAGTTCCAATACCGCTACTCCCGCTTCTGGTGTTACACGCAATAGAGAGGATATGTCGCCAATAAGCAAAGCACTGAACGTCCAACAAACCCAGCACCACCACTGTCCGAGAGCGGAAACCGTTCTTGACCGAGCCCGCGTGCAAGGCACTCATGATATGCGAAACCAACAGCACTTTCTTCTCTTCACCTCCCTTCTCATCTCACCAATAACTAGGCCCTCTGCTCCGCCTGCCTCGTTCCTTCGATCACGCTCCCCTCTCTCACTCCGCGTTTCCTCTCGTAATTATAGCCGCTTCGCAGCGTTCATATTCCACGCTGCGAGCGATGGCCGAATCGGGCGCGGACGTGGAAACAGCGACGTTCGAGTCGCTAGGAATTTGCAGCCAGCTAGTGGAGGCGTGTCAGACGCTCGGGTGGAAGAACCCCACGCCCATTCAGTGCTCCGCCATTCCACCCGCTATTCAAGGTGCGCGTCGCCCGCTCTAGCGCGTGCTTCTCCTCTAGCGCGCTTCCAAAACCGCATCTCCGAAATCTAGTCACTCAAATCCCGGCTCTAGAAACCCGTCCTTTGGTTGTCGCATGTACCGTGGGGGATCTCTTTCGGTTCCAGACCTCATTAAAACCCGTGTCGATCCTGCCTTCTTCAGCCTTGCAGGCCCTCCAATGCCTTAGCTATGGAGCGTCGTAGCATCTCCCCTGCCTCCCCATAGCTAACGCCATTCCACGTTCTCTTTCTGTCCTACCGCTGTCCTAACCGCAATCCATACCGCTGAATCTACCGTTTTCTGTACCGCCTTTCCCACCGCTCTTTCGACTGGTGTGTGCGCACGGGCGTGTCACGCGGGCAGGTCGCGACGTGATCGGGCTAGCGCAGACGGGCTCCGGCAAGACCGCGGCGTTCACCATCCCCATTCTCGAGGCCCTCTTAGCGAAACCTTCGCCGCTCTTCGCCTGTATACTGTCGCCAACACGGTACGCGCCACGCCATGCCATGCCGTGTCGCTCACGCCGTCACGTCACATCACATGATGCTGGGTCAATCGTATTAGCACAGGTCCCGTGCTCGTGCAACGTATAGCGAGTTTATCCCATCTTAAACCCAGAGTCGTGAATGAACCCCTCACGCATCAACCGTGTTCGTGTATCAGCTTCAACGGGGAAAGAGGGCAATCCCCACCGTGTTTGCACGCGCTAGAACCCTACTTTAGGAAACCCGAAAACCCGCCCCACGAAACTTATCAACTCCATTTGTTCCGTCCCGTCCTGTCCCGTCCCGTTCCGATTCGTTCGTGTGTGCGTGTGTGCGGAGTGCGAGCAGCGAGTTGGCCATTCAAATAGCAGAGCAGTGCGAGGCGCTTGGCAGCAGCATAGGCCTCAAATGCGCCGTGGTCAGTTGGCCCTTCCCTCTCCTCCCCGCCCTCTCCTCCTCGCCCTCTCCTCCTCGCCTTGTCCTCCTCGCTTGGTGAGCTTCTGCTCTTTTTCTCTCTGCACTTGATGCCGACAACCATTTGCTGTTTGTCTTCCTCCGTCAACGCCCTCTCCTCCTCGCGACAACACATCTACCACTCTCTCTCGCGCGCGCGCACTTCCCCATCCACCGTACGTCCTCCTCGTCCTCACCCTACAAAGAGCAGCGTAGAGCGTCCAAACCTCATTGTTATTCCTCCTGTGCTCCTTCTCCTCTGCTGCGGTGCGGTGCGGTGCTGTGTTGTGCAGATAGTGGGAGGCGTGGACATGGTAGCTCAGGCGATTGCGCTGGGAAAGCGGCCACACATCATTGTACGGCGCTCTGGTCTTTATCCTACAGGAATGCTGTGATGTGGTTTCGTGTGGTTCACTGCGGTGCAACGCAATGTGACACGGCGCGATGTGTTTCTAAACTGCTGCATGCGGTCAAAGCTCTGCTGCACTCTGCGTCATCTCTGCTTCTCCGAGCGTGGCCAGACCAGGGCACTTTACCCTAGACCCGTACATCATGTGCTCAGCTCACATCACATTGTGCCTCCCTTACACCCCGTGCGTTTCTCTCTCTCTCTTCCACCTCCTCTGTGATTCCTCCCCCCCCCTGCCCTTGCTCGTCCACGGGCAGGTGGGCACGCCTGGCCGGTTAGTGGATCATCTGAGCAACACCAAAGGGTTCAATCTCCGCACTCTCAAGTACCTGGTGCGTTCTTGTCTTGCATCACACCACACCATACAAGCCTCTTCCGTGTGCAAGCCCTCTCTCTCTCTCTCTCTCTCTACCACACACCTCTTCCTCTCATGCGCGCGGGTCCTACATGGAGTGGAGCGGGCGAGCCTCGCCCTCACCATAACACTGCCTCTGCCCACACAGCACAGTTTTGAGTCGACTCAAACCTCGACTCATTCTGCGCGCGGGTGGAATGTCCTACATGGAGTGGAGCGAGCCTCGCCCTCACCATAACACTGCCTCTGCCCACACAGCACACCGTCTGAATCTCAATTCAACTCACATCTCAACCCGTGTTACCATATGATTTCCCCCCCCCCCCCTCCCATGCGCACAGATGCTAGTCGAGGCGGATCAGCTGCTGAATTCCGAGTTTGAGGCGGAGATCGATGAAATTCCCAGTGTGGTGCCCAAGGAAGAAGCCCGTTTACAAGCAGACTCTACTCTACTCCCCGTCCCTCTCCCCTTTTTCTCTCTCCCTGCGTCCCCCTCCCCGCTCCTCTCTTCGCACAGGTGTTGGACGAGGCGGACCGGCTGCTGAACCTGGAGTTTGAGGCGGAGATAGACGAGATTCTCAAGGTGGTGCCCAAGGAGACGCTTTAGTAGGCGCCTTATAACTCCTCCCCCTTTCCCTCCACACCCCCTGCTTCCATGCTTCTTTCAGGTGCTGGACGAGGCGGACCGGCTGCTGAACCTGGAGTTTGAGGCGGAGATAGACGAGATCCTCAAGGTGGTGCCCAAGGAGCGGCGCACGCTGCTCTTCTCCGCCACCATGACCAGCAAGGTCGCCAAGCTGCAACGTGCCTGCCTCAAGGACCCCGTCAAGGTGCGCTGCCATGCTGGTCTGGGTGTGGTCTGGGCTGGGCTGGGCTGGGCTGGGCTGGGCTGGGCTGGGCTGTGGTGTGGTGTGGTGTGGAGTCATTTCGTCTGACGCCATGGTGATTTCCTGTTTTTTCCTTCCTCTTTCTCTTCCTCTTCCTCTTCCTGCTCCTTTCCACCTTGTTTTCCAAGATAACCATCGAGCCCTAATCGTCTACTCTCCACTCACGTTGCTCTTGCGTGACATGGCATGGCATGGCACGCCATTGTATCAGGTGGAGGTGTCATCCAAGTATTCCACAGTGGACACGCTACGCCAGCAGTACCTCTTCGTGCCCGCCAAGCACAAGGTCCGTTATCTTATCTTATCTTATCTTATCTTATCACCGCACCATCGCTCAACCCAAACCGAACCGAAGCTTTGAGCCCTGAGCATCTTCTTCTGGACCTCTGGTTCCTGGGGTGGGTGGTTACCTGCTCTCGTGCATGCCTCCTTGAACTCTGGCTGCTCCTCATCTCTCTTCCCTTCCTCCCTCCTTTGCTCTCGCTTCCCTCTCTCCTGCAATGTCATCTCGCCCCCTCCCTCCCTCCCTCCACTCTTGTAGCAGTCCATCTCGTTCCCTTCTTCTCAATCTCCCGCCTCCCCGGTCCTCCTTTACCCGCCACCCCACCAGGACTGCTACGTGGTGTATGTGTAGAACGAGCTAGCGGGCAGCACCGCTTTTCATAACAGTCCATCTCGCTCCCTCGCTCTCCACTGTCCCTTCCCACTACTCTTTGCCCCCCTCTCCTCTCTACCCGCCACCCCACCAGGACTGCTACCTGGTGTATGTGTTGAACGAGCTAGCGGGCAGCACCGCTATGGTCTTCACACGCACATGTGATGCCACACGTCGCGTCGCCCTGCTCCTCCGCAACCTTGGGTTCCCCGCCATTCCCATCAGCGGCCAGATGAGCCAGGTGAAAGCTCTCTCCTCTTACCCATCTCCTACCCTGCTCACTCTCTGTTCTGCTCTCCAGCTTTCCTTCCCAAACTCGAAACTCCATTACTTCCCTTCCACATCTCACTTTCCACTTCCTTTCTCCCTCTTTCTCCCTCCCTTCGTCTCGCCCCTATGTCCCCCACCCTCTCGCCTGCTCCCATGCACCAGCCGAAGCGGCTGGGGGCGTTGAACAAGTTCAAGAGCGGCGACAGGAGCATCCTGATCTGCACAGACGTGGCCAGTAGAGGGCTTGACATCCCCTCTGTCGACATGGTTGTCAACTACGACATCCCCACCAACTCCAAGGTGCCTGCTCGCCCGCCTGCTTTTTGAAGCGCCAACTCCTAAGTGCCTGCCTGCCTGTCTGCCTGCCTTCCTGCCAACCCGTTCGCCCTCCCGCCTGCCCTCCCGCTTGCCTGCTTGACCGCGCACCCGCCTGCCTGCCCGGAAGCTGGATCTCCCCTTCGTTTGTCCATCTGTCTGTCCGACCTGTCTCCCCTAGTTTATCCACTCACCCCCTTCCCCCCCTCAACCTCCACCCACCCTTGCTTCACCTGCCCCTCATCGAACCGCATGACCCCAACAGGACTACATTCACAGGGTGGGGCGGACAGCGAGAGCGGGG